GAATAAAAAAAAAACACCCAAATAAAAAATATACTGCACATGTTTACTGCTGGTGGCCGTATAATTGGCGTTGATTTATTATCTTCGTGTTCGTATCAAGATGTAGCTTCGATCTTGTGGGGTTCAATTGTGTAATTGTGTTCAGCGCCAATAAAAAATTCAACTTAAATAAGTAAATTTTGTATATGTAAATTGGTATACACATTTCTACATAAAAGAACTCACAGGTATATACACAAATGCGGTTTGTGGCCATCGCGTGTCGCCACTGTCAGGCTATATATTTTAGATAGTTGCTGGTTAGTTGATTATTTAGACGATTGCTTTTCTAGTATGCCACTCCTCTATGTATGTCAGCCTGTCCCTATAAATGGCATGAAAGCTGTGTGAAGTGACAAAGGCTTAGCGACATTGTCCATTGCACAGTGGCTCATACGTATGAGGGAATCTCATGAATTCAACATTTTAGAATATCATCATATGGAGACACAAGTCCAAATTATACATGAAGAAAATTCTGTACCTTTTAGCTGTTTCGTCAATAATTTCCTATAATTTCTAAATAAGATATTCCAAGTTAAATGTATGAAATGTTTTGTTTCCTTTTTAATTCAAAATACAAAATTATTACGCATGATTGGATCCATCTTCAATTATAAAGTCGCATATCTAGCTTGTTTACATTTAATTTAAGCAGGACAAAATTGACTAGAAAATGTAGTTTGTCAATATTTCCAATTACAATTTATAATTTTATTATCATATCAATTTTATTTATGGTTTGTTATAACTTACAATTTGATTAAGAAGCCTTTATCTTCTTGTGGAGGCTATCATACAATATAATGAATAATTTTAGATATATATTACAGCCAGGTTGTTTGAAGAGGTTTTTGAGCCACTGTGTACGCCCCGAGGGGCCTTTATGGGAATTGGCTTGAGTTTTTGTTTAGGTTCTTTTCAAGTAGTAGCATTGCATGACTGAATGCAGGCAAGCCTTGTCCTTGCTGTTGCTGCTGCTGCCTGTCGTTGCTATTTAGAAGCTAAAAGCCTGACATGCACACCATTCCAGCACATCAGAGTAGAGCCGAGCAGCACAGAGTAGAGGAGAGCAGAGCTTGCTGCGTCGTAGTTCCAATTTCATACTTCCATCTCTGACTGAAGACCGCACACACAAACTCAATTAGACAAATGAATAAGTATGCTATTCTTGGCAATACAAATACGGCACATTTACTCAATGCAAATGGTATATTCCAACAAATCTGCATATCGCTTTTGTCTTAAAGCTCTTTAAGAGAATTTTAATGTGCTCATATTTGTTGTGGTTGTCATTTACCATTTGGCACAATTGGCGCATTAAGACGTTTAAGCTCTGACCTAATTTAATATTTAATTAGCTCGGCATTGAATATTAAGGACCGGCATTGAGCTGTGCTGGGTGTTCGTGTGCTCGCTGACGGAAGCATATGTGTCGTATACGTGACATTCGACAATCATATTTTTCTGGCACTCAAATTGGAAAAGCAGCACCGGCAAAACACCAGCTGGCTTACTGCATTTTGAGTTTGTGGGTGGACTTAAGCCCCTAAATGGGACGTTCGCCTTGACTTCCGCTCCTTAAGCGATATAAAAATGTTGTAAAATGCAGGCAATCGAGGCGTTTACTTTCGTTGCAGCAGCTGCAACCGTCTCTGATTTGTGCAAATAGAGTCATGCAATTAGCTGTACAATTTTATTCAGCAGCTGTTTGGTGTGGTTAAAACTAACGAAGACATTCACGCCGTAGTGGCCCTAATGGTAAACTGTTTTTCCCAGAATAAGAAATGTTTATTTATAGTGGTAGAGACAACAAACAGAGGATGAATGCATTTTATGAAAATTTACGCTTGATAGACTGTCTTTATGTTCGGATTTGCATGCGCAAATATTTAACTTTAGGGACATCATTTTATAATTCTAAATTGTTATGATTAATGATAATCTTTTGTGCACTATTCGCATCTCCTTGCCTTTAAGAAAGTCTGTTAGCTCCAGCCCAATTAAATATTATTTATTTTGGAATACAAAATAAAAAATGTAGTATTTTGTGAATTGTAGCTTTCTCCGGTTATTTCACAAGTATTATATTTTCAAGGATAAAAATCCTGACGTGTCTACGATTGCAATTTTTGTTTAATTTTTGGTAAACAAAATTGAGCTTAATAATAAGTGGTTTCTGTTTCGTTCGATTGAAGTGGTCTCACTGTTGTACTTTAAATGTTCTTAAATTTCTCAAAACGTTCTTGAACCAGCCCGAATATAAATGCAACAATTATTTTTTCAGATGCAGGCTAGGAAACTCTTACTAAGACGAGTACGTGAGCTTGAACCTTTGAGCATTGTGCAGATTGTTCATATCATCCTAATTTGTAAGCCTACAAATTTCAAATGTAATACTTGCATAAGTACTTTCTTACATATGTCTACCAATATACGATTGTTTACAGACAACATTGTCATGAAATTTGCTTTAAATCTCAAATTTTAGAATACATATTTCCAACTTGGCTCTTTTCCATTTCCATTGTAATCAAATAACGAAAAACTCAGAACTTTACTAAAGCATTCAACAAAATCTTTGAATAAAACTATAAAATACAAAATAGTTGTGCGTTGCTTAAGGCTTTTATTCAGCTGCAATTTGTGCATAATTTTCAAGTTTTTGCAAAGTGCAAGATAATATGAGTATTCTATATGAGTATTCGATTTAGTGTTGTTGTTGTTATCAGTAAATAGATGTTGACTCGGTTTCTATGTGTATTGCGGTACTCAGGCTCTGACATAGATGAATTATGCATCTGAATTGAGCTTAAGTAGCCTGCAACATATTTAAATTGCTAGAAAGCTGAAAGTTAAGCGGGAACTTTGGAAATGCATATTTTGGGTACAAAAGGTTACATTTGATGCTTAAGTAAGTTTTTATGCCAAAAGGAAATTACCGCAGCAAATTGGCGAACTGCGAGAAATGTTTGCCTGGATTAAACTGTGAAAGCTATTTCCGCCATTCCCTATCTTTTTTGTTTCTATCAACTGGATTTATCAATTTCAACTGAAAAATTGCTGAGTCGTCGGAAATTACTCTTTGCTGTCCACAGCTAGATAGCACTTTTGTTTGTCTCTGTGTGCATCATTGTGCATTCACTCAAATTGAAGTCTAGTTTAAATGCCATAGAAAGCACGATGCACTTGCACACGAAAAAAAATGCTCCATGTTGAAGCACTTTTGCATTTTATCAATGCAGCGAGGTCAAGTTGCTCACTCGTGTTGGCTGAAAGTGCGATTAAGTTGCTTCTTGGCATGTCTTTGGAATTTTCTTATTCCCAAATTCGCTGCTATGCCAACTTGCTTCTAGCTTAAATTCTAACTCAATTGAAAGCAATGCATCAAATGCAAAATTCGTTGTAAGCTCAATTTGTCCTTCGCACAAATATATCAATTATCGAAGCTTCAATAAATCAATGCTTTTACTCGGTTACTTTGAAGATTCGACTATGTAATACCACATACTCATTGCCAATTATGGATTACATTATTACGAATACATAACATTTGGAAAGGCGGAAGTTGAACATACAATTTTGCACGTAGATATGTATTTGAAGAGTTAATTGAAAAAATTGTATTTTTTTGGCGGATCTACGTTTTGTCATTATTGTCATAGCTTTGAAAGAAGAAAAACATATTTTCACAATGCTGTGCTTCAGCCAATTCTTATCTGTGGAAATTAAAATATTTTTTTTAATTTTTTATTTCTCCAAACTATTTTTCAAATCGTCTTTACTGCATCTTCAATTAAAAGCATAAATGCAAGTTGTGCCATCTGGTGTTTTATAATGGGCGGACTTATACACAATCACGCATTTTTAAATTAGAATATTAAAATTTAAACTGATTTTCATAATCAAAAAAGTTTTGAAAACTTATGAAACCATTCCAGTTTTATGCAGCGGGCAAGCACAGAAGATAATTAAAATGAATCATAAATCATTTTATTTTGCAGCTGCTGTGAATAAAATATTGAAAAATAAATAAGAATTGGGATAATAAATTTAACTCATCAATCAATGCACATCCGAAGAAATTTACTATTCACAAGTGAAAGGTAAATTATTTTATAATTGCTTAATATTCGAATGATTACATTTCAAAGAGAGCGTAAATTTGTTTCAAACATCATTGATCAAAACGAATTTTAGATATGCGCAATACCACAACTTCAAATGATGGTTCGTCACCTCAAATTTGATGATTTGTGTATAGGTTCTTTTGAGGGTCAAGCAAGGGGGTATACCCCATTAAATGCCATCGTTAAGTGCGGCATCAAATCCGATGCACACTCAATTCATCTGCATGCAAAGTGCTCATTAATATCATCTGAGTTAGCACAACTGACAGACAGTCTGACAGTCAATATCTGCACCCCTCCCCTCCCAAACACCAAACTCCAGCCCCTCTTACACCCCTGTCAACTATTCCAATAGCGATGTGAGAAATAGGTGCTGCATTCGGCAAGGCGCGCGCATAACTTGATTCGCTTTGATTTATGGCACGCAATAATAATCAGCATTTGCATGTTACCGACAAAGCTTACATGCAACCAAACTCACACAAACACAAACACGCGCAAAAAACACGCACATTTCTGAGCAAGTGGGCAAGTGAGCAAGTTTTTGCCACAAGCAAACACGATGTATACTCAATGTAGGTACCTATTTATTTAGGTGCATGCACACACAAATACTGATAGCTAGTTGGTTAGCCGACTGACGGCAACAACAAGTTGCACTTGCGGCAGCTGCAAGTTGGCCCTTCGACCTTTTGAATCGGGAGCCAGAGACCGCCGACTTGCGCTGATGACGAGCAGCGTCCTTGCGCTGTGGCATCCGTCGACCATCCGTGATTTATGTAACTTTTTATTCAGGCTCATTTCTCATGCTACGCTTCTGGCTCTTTTCAGCGATGCTTGCCTCATTAGCGACTTAGTGCTTCGAATGCCGAAAGTGTAAAGGTAAATGCAGGGGAAGCCAAATGCAAATCCAAATAATCCAAAGTGAAAGCCAAAACGACAACCGCCCCCCGAAAACAAGAAAAACCACTAAAGGAGTTTACAAGGACACACGAACTAACTAAATATATACATAGATCTAAGTATGTATGTGATGCTTGAGTGACCAACGAATTCGGTTAATGAGTTGCTTTTTACGAGCGAATGAAAATGGAAATTGATATTATGCTGCAGCTATAAATAAACGCGGCAAATTAAAATTAATCAGCATCCGAGCTTGAATTGCATAGCAACAACAGCGAACAACATTCACATTAACATTTAGATTAACAACATCAACAACAACAACAACAAAAACAAAAACAACAACAACCATGGCATCACCACCAGAAAGTCCCATTGAAGAGGTGGTCTATGAGTTGGAACACACACGCGTGCCTAAGCCCATCCCAGTTGCCCTCGAAGATTTGTGCCGCCAAACCAAGTTCACCAAGCAGGAAATCCGCGTCATGTACAGAGGATTTAAAACGGTAAGTGGACATACGCATCGCAATTTATTTGCACCACCCCCCAAAATGAAATATATATATATATGAAGTAAGAAGAGAACACATTTGTATGTCTACACATATACTCGTATTTATATGAATATACATTTCTAGCGTAGGCTAAGCACATAAATTTATGAGTCTGGAAGTCAGCAAAAAAAAGGAAAAAAAAAAGAAAAGCACTGCAAACGATAACATAGCCAAGTGGTTTTTGGTTGGACGTCAAATAATGCCAGCCAATTTAATGCATACGCGTTTTGAATTTCATTGCATACTATCACTGCGAATGTGTGGGTGCACGCATTCATAAGTAAAGCAGTTCTCACAAATGTGGGTCAACCAGATAAATAGATAAAAACTGGTAGTTTTATGATCTAATTTTTTACAGACACGACAATATATTCAAAATAAATAGTCGTAGAGAAAAGAAATTATGTAGATAACAGATGAGATTGAAAAGCTCTCTTATCTAAAGCTAAAGTGTTGATCTTCAAATCATTAAATACATCTGAGTAAATTATTGCAATGTAATAGCTTCAAGGCATCTCCTAGTCGAGCTGTCTTGACTAGAGTATTCATATGTGTTCTAATAAAAGCTAGTAGTCACTTGAAATAGAACTCCCATACTTTTTGCTAGGGAAAATGTATAGGTGCACAGCATACTTTGGCAAGGATTCAGTTCGAGTGTGAACTAAGCTTATGGTCAGTACATTTGCGCTCATATTTTCATAGATTTCATTATTTTTTTACAGGAATGTCCTGAGGGTGTGGTGCACGAGGATTGTTTTAAGGATATTTACGCCAAATTCTTTCCACATGGCAGTAAGTATTTTTGTGTATTTTGAGTGTGTGTGTGTGTGTATGTATGTTGCATTTCAATGTCCTTGCTGGCGTTTTTCGGTCTTTTTATGGCTGCGCGTCATAAAGTGCAACCTCCAGCAGCATTTCAGTTATGTGTGGCAGATTTGGGAGCTTGCAGTTGCTTACCCCAAAAATGGCAGTACTCGCATTAAGTACTTATACGATCCAAATATTTTCTATTTCCTCAGATTCCAGCTTATACGCTCATTATGTGTTCAAAGCTTTTGATGTTAATTGCAATGGCGCCATTAGTTTTCGGGTAATTACGCTCCTTATGTTATTATGTTGTTTTCTGTTTCGTTAAATAAACACATTTATATATACGTACACAAAAGGATTTGCTAGTCACCTTATCTACGCTCTTGCGGGGCTCCGTCTATGAACGTCTCCGCTGGACCTTCAAGCTGTATGACCTGAACGGAGATGGTCGCATCAGTCGCGGCGAGCTGAGCGAAATTGTTTTGGCCATACACGAGCTTATGGGAAGGAGGCCACATCAACCAGAGGACGATCGAAAGGCGAGGGATCAGGTGCGCAAAAATTGTATATGATGGAAAAATCATAAATTCATTAATTATTATTTTATTGACTAATGTTAATAATAACAAGTGAGAACGTTGAAGTCGGTAGCAACCGACTGCGGAATAGGCTGATCAAACTATAATACCAGCTGATAGCAGAGTGCAATGCCGTGTTTGTTATTTTTTTTAAATCTTTGAAGGAGAGTGCAGGATATCTAATATTGCAGGAAATATAGACTTTTCCAATTTTTCTGGCGGGAGAGGTTGAGGCCGTAAAGGAATCTTTGGAAGAGGATCATGGAAATCGGAAATCGTAAGCCATTTTCGATTGTTAGGGCCGAGTACATAGCGGAGGGGTTGTCACCCGAAAATAGATTTGTCGATTTTTATGGACGTGACAAACAATATGCGCTCCAAGATTTACAATTGTGTGAGATATGCAGGCGTGTCCATAACTTTTGGGTCGATACATAAAATCGGTTTCTGGTAATATATCTTCCAGAATTGCTGCTAGTATATAACTATATACTAAAATGTCATCAAAGTTATTTGGTCAGTGTAGCACCTGAATAACACGGCTCTAGAGTTTAACAAAAAATAAATAAAAAAAGATATATATATAGGATATAATTTATATAGTATAACAAATAAGTCCAAGAAATTTGCTTAAAGGCACTTTTTTAATTATAAAATTTTAAATACAATTAAAAAAAAAATAACAAAAAAGTTCGCTGTTTTAAGGACACGATAAATTAAAAGGGAATTAAACTTGTAATATTAACATAACATTTTTTATTATTTTTTTTTTTTTTAAGTGATGTTAAGGTGCGAAATTCGATTAAAGGCAGTCCCAATAAAATTAATATAATATTTAGAAATGACATGAAAATAACAACTTAATAATGTGTTCAGCCTCCAGATTTGGTTATCACTAAAAAGTTATATTTGTCATCGATTCAACAACTACTTAAAACTCAGATAGTGGGATTTTGGACCATTCCTTAACGACGGTCGGGTGATCTTCCTGGCCACTCTAAAAGCATAAAGTTCTTATCCCGAAACCACCCACTGGAATAAGGCATTTGGGTCTGTTTGATGCTCTATAAAGTTCAAGAAAACTTTGTCCAACAAGTTCGTATAACCCTCCGTGCTCATACGACCTGAAATTTTACAAATCAAGGTGATGGTGTTGTTATATATCCATGTGAAGGTTTTGTGATAACTGAATGCAGCCGGTGGGATAATTTTTTGATGTTGGTATTTGGGCGTTTTTTGTTGTATTTTTCCTCTATTTTTAACACATTATCAATTGCTTATGCCGATCGACGCAATTTAATTTATATTTGCCGGTTGCTCATTCCAGTATCCTTGTAAGTCAGAATCTATTCCTCAAGTGAAAGTGTTTTGCCCTTCCCATTCGAAATATTTGTAAGCAACTGATTTGTTCTTTATCTAAAACATTAAATAAAGATGTAAATTTTCTTATCCCATTCAAAGAAAATCCATATAACGCAATACTTACTTTTCCAATGGCTTGACTGCCTTTATCGCACCTAAACTAACCATAAAAAGGGAAAAACCCAAAAATCTTGGAAAAAACTAACGGAACTTGCATTCCAATGCATCAAAACAGTGTAAGAAGGAGAATCACCGTTAACAAGGTCATGTTCCATCCCGCACCATAAACACGAGTGCCTTTAATCGAAAATCGCGGAGTATATAGGTATATATCTGTGTGAGGTCTTATATTTAAATAATTATTATTGTTCAGATGTAGTAGTTGAGATTCGATTAATATAATAATGGTTGAAATATGTTTGAATATCGCAGCAACGATTAATACTTAAGTATCGCAATATCGATTAGTATCGAAGATCTGGTCACACATGAATTGTCTTTCTTTCTTACTGCGTTGTATTTTCCTAAGTTCATGAGTGGCTCTCTATTCTTCAACAAGACGCACACGCGCATAATAAATATAATCCCTAATCAGAAACTGCGTTTGACTCTTCATTTTTATGAACGCCATTTCCAACAATAATTAACTAAACTCGAACTAAAGAAATAAATAAAACACAAATTGTCATGGTCAAAAGCGCAAACTAATTTAAATTATGCTAACAATATTCGCTAATGCAGAATATGTATAATAGATTTCCCCGTTAGCATGCGGAATTAAAATTTATATTTAAGGGACTTGTTTGATTTGTTATACAAATGTCTGTATATTCAACAAAAATTCCACTAAAATCAAGTTATTAAAACATTAAATTTCGACACCAGCGATGACAAGTTGACAAAAAAAAATCAATTGAGTTTATGTTGCAATGCAATGCGGTTTGGCTTTAGTTTTTTGCCTTATTGCATGCATCATTTTTTATGCAAGAGCCGCAGTTGACAACGTGTAGCATCCGATGACGTTACCGATTCAACGACATAAGCGCGATGCGAGACGACACGGCTTACGCTGCGTATGAGTAATTATGATTATGCACATACATATGTATATCGACAAAGGCATTCACTTCTATATGTTGTGCTTGTATGTGGGTGCAGCTCTGGGGAATTGGATTGGAAACACCGAGCAGATGCTTTGTGTGCGCCTATGAGCGGAAACTACAGCGGATATTTTATTTAATGATGAAGGCTTCATTGCACATATCGTCGATAAGCGATGAGAGTGTGTATGTGAGTAAAGGGATTTTGACGATGATTAACAAAAAGTCGTGAATGAAAGTTTAACACCAACTATTGATTGATTTAAATGTGCATATTTCAATACGTTGCAAACTATTGCTAAACGTTATCGTATTGCAGGTGGATCGAGTTTTTCGCAAATTGGATTTAAATCAGGATGGCATCATAACGATAGAAGAGTTTCTTGAGGCGTGTCTCAAGGACGATTTGGTAACGCGCTCATTGCAAATGTTCGACAATGACCTTTGATGACAAGACGAACCAGAGATACGCAATACAAGGACTATAATACCGCTTATAGATCTATAGATTGAATAAACATATGCTGCGCCAGTTTCACCAAGCAAAATCAAAGACAACATTAATTGTTTTGAATAAATGTGTGTGTGCAAAGTTCAACGGTCAAATGACACCAGTATAACAATGATATAAAAGAAGAAACAACATATTAGTATCTAATTTTATTTTAGGTAACTAATAAAAATATGAATATCGGGCGAACAGAAAACCAAATAACCAACTTTAACATTTATATGTGTGTAACGGTACAAGTACTTAGGTGAGAAACGGATAAAAACAAATTGAATACAATTTATGAAATATGTAATTTTTTTAAGCATATTATGAATTTAATCCTGCCGTCAGAAGCGATTTGGTCTTATATGTAGTTATTAAATGTATATGTATGTATAAAAAAGAAATACTTTATTTCATGCAAACAGCTAAACTGAACCACCAACCATAATAAATAAACAGAATAACTTTGAAACGGAATTATTTGATAACTAGAAATGCAGTCGAGCAACAAAATGCAACACGATTTACTTTACACGATTTAAATATAAAATAAAACAAAAGTCAAAAGAGTAACAGCAATTTATATATACATTCGCGTATATGCATAAGTACTTACATATAAATAAGTAAATACATACCCATTAACATACGTTCATAATTGTACTTTTTAGCAGACATAACAATAATCGTTTGTGAGTGAATTTAATTCCTTGACTAAACTATTTGCATTTGAGTGTTAGTTTTAACAGTACAGCTCGGCGCCTTAAAAGTTATTTCTTATTTATTTTTATTATTCAACAGAAAATTCTGGAATACAAAATTAATATTCAAGTTCAAAATGCTCATATTTTAAATTTATGAACTATGCGGTCAATTAAAGAATAAAAAACATGCCACATTTAAATACGCCAAATTGATTTCCATTAAATTTTCATTTATACCAATTGCATATGTTTCCTGTTAAGTTTTAATCATATTTTGTAAAATTTGTCTTTTATTTCTGGATGCAAAACTACCACCGACAAACAAGCACTTGACACTTTAAACCACATGTTTCCATAACAGCATGATTAAATTGCGTTTTGAAATTAATAATTAAATTGCGCCTGCATTAATAAATCATACGCCCGGGCCACGTGCCATCAATATATAAAAAAAAAAAACAAAAAAACAAAATAAACAGTAAAGCTTAAGCTTGTGTAACATGCATCCACTCTTCGTATGTGCCATGTACTCGTATTATCTGTTAATGCGCCACATGTGCCCTACATTTTAATTATAGTACATACTATTAATTTAGTTCTTAGCATATCAACAGAGACAGACAGAGATGAGACCGGCAGCAGTATGATACGATTGCCTAAGCTGTGGAAATATTTAACATTCCCTGAAAGCACGACAGCAAAAAAGTTCTTTTTACATTGTACCTTCCACACAATACAATTGTTGTTTCAGCAAAAGTTTTATACTTACTTACATATAATACATGTAATACGCGTCGCGTTCATTGAATGACACTGTGCATGGAGTCGAGACAATCAATGTGGTTTTAAATTTCCCTTTAGTTATATAAATGTTCTTCCATTGTTATTTTTAACAACAACAGCTAAATATTTATGTAAAACACCTCTACATATTTATATTTACATGCTTATAGAAAGACGCAAACTGTTCTCTGTCCCAATGAACGTATTGCCCCAATTGGCGTTTAATAAGACAAATATTGAAATAGAGAAAAGAAAATTGCTCAAGGCCCATTAAGTCTGACGAGCTTGAATTCAAACATCTTGTGAATCTCACGCTGCAACAGTCTATTTAAAATGTATATTTTTTGAGCAATTCATCTGCTTTTCTGTGAAATATTGAACAAGATGCTCTCAAGACATTTGTTTGAGCCTTTCATGCTAAACGATTTTCTTCACTAAGCAATGCCGCAATATTCCAGACTTATCTCAAATACCATTATCAGGTTCTATCATGAACTAGTCAAAATGATTGGCAATATTAGCAAATGCGCTTTTATAAGTAATTAATTGCAACTAACTTGTAACTAAGTGCATGACATCAATGTCCTTGAACTTGAAACTTGAAAACCAATGCGACCTATTTAATAAACCACCCAAAGATTCTACCTACCTAGTCTGTATGGATTATTATTGTGCAATATGTATAAACTTACACTGTCCATAAAAAATAAACGGAAAATAAAATTTACCATTTAAATATCTAACTAGTAAAATACTAAATAATGAATGAAATTGAAACGCTTAAAACTTAATTCCTTTATTAATTAATCAATTGATGAACTTTATGCTAAAGCCAAAAATTGTTATTGTTTTTAGCACATAAATGTTCAGTAAACGTATCGAAATTTTGTGTAAATGTCTACTAAGCTACTCCCAAATCGATCGAACTACAAATTAAAAAAACACATACAAATATAACAAATTCGAGGGATTAAAATTTTTAATGATGTCCTAAATATGTAGCTAGTTAGCAAAGATAAGACCCTAACTGTGTAGCAACTATTTGTAGCATGATTAAGATTGGAGAAATTGAAATTGAAAAAAAAAAATACGAAATGATGTATATTTTAACTACATATATTGCATTCGCATTTAGTTGAAACTAAATTAAATCAAAATGTACCTAGTAAATGTAAATTATGATAATAATTTTCCAATATAAGCTATTTAAATTACGATTAAATGTAAAGGAGCTTGGAATGAAATGAGGCGATAAAGAAATTAAACCCAAGGTAATTGACTCACTTTATGGCTCCTGAAATTTATAATAATTTAAATTTTATTATTTATGCTATCAACCTTTAAGCGAAATTTTAAATTAACTAATTTATAAACCAAACAACATACTTAAAAGTAACTTAACAGCAGTAAACGTGGTTAGTGATTTGGATTGTTTATAAGTACATACTATAATAGAAGACCCATACACATTGATAATAAATATGAACTAATACAACTACTAACTAACTATATTAAACTAAAACAAACTCTATTCAATTTATTTAATTGTCTAATACATTCAAATACATATGTGTGTATAAATGTGCTAGGACTATCCGTACATACTTCTTTGTTGTTTAATATTCAAGCCGAGTCGGCGACTAAAAATATTTGTGGTCAACTCTTAAATTAAAAAAAGCATTTGGCATTTCATACATTCGACACACCAAATACTCTTCTCTCAAACCAAAAACCTTTTTCAGTTGTATGAACTCGCTATGATCTTATTAACTTATTGCATATGTATACGTAATTGTTAGTTTAGATTCAGTGTCACTTTGGTTATTGTTTCCCATACGAATTGAAATATATGTATTTAAGTTAAATCTGTTAGTTTTAGCTCTGATTTAATTAAATATATGTCATGATAAAAGAGACCATCAAATAACAAATGAGAACTGGGCAAAAATAAAAAATTTTAATAAAAATAACAATTTAATAATATACGGTTGTCTTTTCTTTAATTTAGTTATAAAAAAAATGTGTGCCAAGACTTAACATAGACCAGTCTATTCTATAATGAATTAGTTTATACACTGGTGATCTTTCAAAATGACTTGCAACATCGAGGAATGCCGATAAAATTGCCAACCTCCATTGATCTTTTTCTGGAAGAAAGCTTGAATTTCTGACGTGTCACAGTAAATGCCGGAGAACACTTACCAAGTGAGCAGTTTCGAAATTATTCCTCTGATAACAGGTGCCGCAGTACCTTTAAAATTGCTGTAGATATAGGCTTTCGTAAATTTGTGGGCGTGAGTGGTTGTGGCTGAAAAAAATTATAGAGAAGGTTCGTAGTTCGTAACTATTTTACAAGGAGAAATAGGCTTCTGAGAATTTTGGATGGTGTAATAATCATCTTTTCAAATTTGATGACTCTAGCTGCAAAATTATGGAAGATATATTTCAGATTTCTAATGTCGATGTTCCTTTGGAAGGCGTTTGCGGGCGTCGTTTAAAAATGTATATGCCGATCTGTGAAGGAGGTTACCAGCTAGCAACCTTCTAAGTTTATGGAGTCTATCTCTTAAATTGTGGGATATATGCGGTTTTATTGCCCTACACATTCAGAAATATCGGTTTGGCGAGTATGGGCGGTGGTGTAGGTGTGCAATACAACTGCGGAAGATATAGCCAATTATTTAGAGTCGGGTGCCAGGGGTCGACGAAGGTGTGCGTGTCATATGCCGACCGTTTGAGGACATTGGCAACAACATACCAACCAAATTTGGTGACTGTAGCCCTAAGTTTTGGGAGATATGTGGCTTAATCGATTTGCGATTATCGATTTTATAGGTTTATAGGTTTAGCCCCCTTGTGGACGTAGCATTCCACAATTTGTCTGACGCGGGCACAGACCAATATAGTTCCAAGGTTAAAGTCTCTATGTTAGGGTGTTGAAAAAGGGTATGTTCATACAGACAGACAGAGAGTATGACGGACATTGGACCAAACCAATATAATATCATACCTTCTGTAAAAAAAATGTGCTACGACAAAAAAAACAACACCCATTTATATTCCGATAGTGGGTTTCATTAGACACTGCCTGCAAGGAGCACATGCTCAAAAGACTCAATCCGTATTTGATTGTGAATTCATGGTGTTTTAAAGGAAGGGAAGTGCGTCGAATTGTCCCGTCCGGCATATGTGTAATCAATGTCAACTATGCTCTCAGTGTATTTTCTCTTAATTAAAATTTACTGTGTATTACTAAAAACATTAAGTATAAAATTTAAAGCTGGATTGAATTTCTTTGCGTCATGGTGCTTAGGAGTATAAGTAAGTTTCAACTTATCCTCTGTAAGCTTATAATGCAATACTAATGCCTTACAAGCTTCTATTGGACCATAGTTCAAGAGAATAGAAAAATATTGTAGTTAATATTTATGCGTTTGGTATTTACTTGGATTATCAACCATTATCGGATTTATTGGAAATGCCAGGCATGCTCTTGTTTCCCGGTCCCTCTTCATTTGCTAGGAAGGTTTACCAAATGAAGCGACCAGCGTTCTAAGCGAGTTTCTGTTATCAAAGAGTAGCAGTGACACCTATATCCTTTCTTTCATCTACCAGATTGGTGTAGCGTGTGGCAGGCAACAAAACTTGTAAAGATGATCGAGACAGTCGGTTTTTAAGGCAGTGTTATTGCAAATTAGAGAAAGTAAGATATTTCGCAACACGATAGCAGTTCAACGCCAAATCCAGATGCACTAAATCGAAAGCTGGGTTCATGGCGAACGGTTGTTTCCAGAGTCGATCAGATCAAAAAACATCCGAAAAGATCTCTTGTGTTATTCAGTTTAATAAGCCACGTGCTCCGATTTATAGTAAAGCCCCTTTAATTTATTTGTTAAATAGATGTTTATTTATTTATGAAATATCAATAATATGTCACTGATTTAATACATTCATTCAAATTGATTCTGTTCATATATTGAATTTTGTATTTATGCGTCCGGTTGTGAATATCTATATTTGAATTTGTGTGTTTCTTTCATATTACTAACATGAAGTATTTCACATACATTTGTGTGTTTTTTTTTATTAATAGTTACGATTTTTGAGCGTCCATATCGTAGGATTCAATTAATATTGCTTAACTTGTTTCCTCATAAATATGTATGTAAATCCAATTGTGCATTTTTCACCCCACAAACTGTGATTAATCTTCATTTTCATCAAGTTGTTTTTTAAAGTTGACTTGCATAAGGACTCAGATGTTGATTGGATGAAATCAAGTTTATATTCCGCATGACCCTCGTTTTGACAGACGATTCACAAGGGGATTGACAATGCACAATTTTTGCATTACGAATTAATTGTTTATGAACTACTTTCACTTTGATTAATGCAATATGTTTGATGTATTGATTTGGGTTTGATTTTAACGTCTTATGATCTTTGCGCCGTAATCAACTTTTGAGGTTTTGTGACAAATGTGTATGTCAAATGTTTTACTTGAGTGATTTCTTTAAATTTCTATATTTGTTTATAAAATGATTCACTACAATTTGAACGTGTTAATTTTTGTTACTTGGATTTGTTATACATATTTGTTATTTGTGAAATTGTTCACTTAGACTACATTTTAAAATTTAACTCCATTTGCACAAACATTTTTACTTCACTAAATCAAAAATTGGCTTAACTACTATAAAATGTAAATAAATGTTTACGCTTTGATGTGTAAATTTAAATATATTTATTTAATTACGATTATTTGTAAATTATGTAAATTTAATTTAATTTTGTCATTGGATTGGTTGTAGATTAGATTTATTTTAACGTTGTGAAGGGTACAAAGTATGACGCTCAGCTACGTTTAGCTACCAACAAAATACATTTAACAATAGTAAAAATACAAAAATTCGTGTAGTTTCGCTTGTATGTATGAAATGAAAATAAAACAGAGTTCAACAAAATACATATATGAATGTATGCGTTTATATATGTATGTGTATATGTAGATGCATGTATTTAGGGGGTTTTCGATCTTTATTTTAAGTAAACAAAAATTTTAGTTCGTGTTTTATTTTCCATTATATATTTTTTAAGTTACTGTTTGTATAAATAATTGTACTTTGATTAACAATAAATAATTATTCATTCAAAATTGCAAGTAGTCTGATTTGACATATGTTTAGATCGGATGAGTTTGTGTGTGTGTGTGAGTAGCGTGGTGTGAGTGTAGTTTCGATCGTATTTAATTGATGGCAGGGTCATTTACAGAGGGCTGTTAGTTAACAGCATGTCGAACAGTGCATGAACTACAGCAGCGCTTCTTCTTATGGCAGCTAGTTGGCATTAAGTTAACAGTGCGCTCTTTTTTAACATTGGATGTTAGAACAAATTTTGTAAATACATAAAATATTTGGCATTTAATTTCGCGAAGCTCAACGAATTTCATTTAATGTTTACTTATTAGTTTTAGCACATGATTTTACACAAGAGAAATGATAAGTGTTTTTTTTAGGTTTGGATCTTTGGATTTCAATGCCGAATCAGAACTGAATGATGGCATTTTAATCATTTTCACTTGTGGAATGCTCATTTGAAAGGTTTTTTTTTTTTTTTTTGTAAGTTATGCACGTACAAATTTGCATACGATTCAAAAATGTTTCGAACATCAAAACAACAAATTTGAAACGAAAACTATGATTGCATTTATACTTCTGTGTTTTGGCAAATAAGATTTTACTTTGTGCTTAAATTGTTAATTTATTATATGATTTCTTTATAGTATATGAGTCGTACTATTTATTTATTTATGTATTGCTAAAACATTATGCAATTTGTTGTTTTAATTTGAAACTTTTCGCCTTATGCGGTTAGACTATCCTAATATTAAGGAGTTTACTGCTGTGTAAAGAGTTGTGTGTTTTTGTATTGTAAAATGTTTTCGGTTTGTTTATGTAGAATAATTTTAGAAAAGTTTTTGCGTATCTCAAGTTCATATAAAGTTCATTCAATTACTGTGACTCTTCGTTAATTCCAAGTCTGCCACAATTGCTCAGCTCAGTTGTTGTTTGTTAAAGTACTACAAAAGTGTATTAAAGTATTTGCAACGACTGACAGCCCCCTCAAATGTAGCCAGCTACAGCTCTTTGCCAATGCCGCTGTCAGTGTTAAATGCATTGCTTTCGCTCCAATTGTTTTTGCTTTTGTTGTTGTTGTTGCTTTTAGTAACGCTTATGCTTTAGTTTACATTTGGTTTGTTAGTACTTCTCATCATCCGTTATTTCCCTATGGGAATTCTGTAATTCTCAGGCCTTGTAATGCTGATTCCTCACCGCACAGCACAGGCTCAATGCGAAGGTCAGGGACAGCAGCTCCAGCAGAATAACAGCGGCGGTAATTGCAAAAATAGTAGCCCAATTCTCATAAATGATGTCGATCAGCTTATCAACGCAGCCCTGGAAAGCAAAAAAAATGTCATTAATAAAATACACAGACTGTGTGTGCGTTTGTGTGTGAGTGTATTTGTCTGCTTCTCATTTTCACTGCAATCAAATATTTATTGAATGTTTATTATACGCATTCAGCAACAAGAGAAGTTACTGCCCAGACATTTGAAATGCGTGCGGAATATCAATAATAATTAATACATTTTTATTGTCGCTGCGACAGGCAGGCGTAGCATTTTTATTAGCTTGAAACAAAACAATCAATACAAAGGATTATTAATTTTTATGGTCTACCGCTTGCTGGTGTTCAAAAACCCACCGACAGCCACCAAAGGTCAGGTAAAATTTGCTCAGACACAACCCCATAAAGTGTCGAGATTAAGTTTTAAATAGTGTTAAATATAGAAAAAGGGGAAAAAATAATAATAAGAAACCATAAATTAAGCACATAAAGATCTTAAATTTTTAATATGCTGTTAAACCCGATTATATAGAGGATGCATCTACGCACAACGACTGTAAAAGCTATCTCGATGCAGAAAAGAGGAATCGGTCTAAGCGAAGACTTCAACTACTGAGGTCTCTCTTCCTTGCAGATGTAGGGGAACTTTCGGACACTCAGCCTAAAAACTAACCATGCGAACCCAATCCGCAGGATGGAACGCGGTACCTCGAACACATGTACAGTTGCAAGAGTAGTATATCCATATAATATATATTATCGACAATAAGCCAAGCATGGTTCAATGTGGTCGATATTGGGTTCTTTCGCCTCCCTTGCTGACAACTTGCTGATAACCTAACCTAACCCCGCGTATGAATACAATACAATTGTCTATACATAATTATATTTGCATATAAATCTAATCTCCTAAGAGATGAATACTAAAATAATAAAAAATGTTCAATTTAAATGATTTAATCATTTTAAAATGATGACTTAGTTGTTTAAATTAAAATCACTATCAAATTGCCTTTTGTTTTCACATTGCTCGATTTATATTCTAATACTTATACAGATTAATATTATTATTATTATTTTATGTACTTTGAAACACCAGCAGTCTTCCCAATATGTTTATATTCTCTGTTTATACAAAGCCAAATATAATTCGAGTTTACCTGTTGATAAATGGACGTATTCAACGGACCGCCAAATTTCAAAATACGCGACTTTTCACAGTCGTTGAGACCCTCTTTGCAACACGATTCGGGTATATTGTAAAATACGTTCATCGAGGAGACGGCAATATCAACGATATTCGTGCGATCCACATTATTAAAACGACTCGTGGCCCAATCTCCAGGTCCATCTGCGCCACAGCACTTCAACTGCAACATAAAATGGAATAAATGAATACACAAAATAAATAATAAATATGCCAAGTGTTCATATATCTACATTCTTTTGCAGCGTATCAAAGGTAACGGTCCGTGAACTCATGCTAGACTGTCCGTACTCTTCCTGAACAGATGATTTGACCGCCGCACGCACAATATCATCCAGTTTGTCTTTGTTGTGGAAGGCCCAGGCACCGGCTGCAATTTGTGCCACCATCACAATGAGTATGACACAGAAGAACTGCAAAGAGTAAGCGATTTGTGAATGGGACTTGAGCGTAAGTGTGCAAGTGGGCGTAAATAAGCAGCAGTCGAAAAAAGAACAATTTACAAAATGCAATTTTAATGAGACTGTGGTGGGCGAGACAAATGCAGACAACCGCAGGATGTGTGGGTTGCTGCTGTGCATTTTAATTGAGACTTACCGAGATAAGCAGGCACTGACTCTCGCGACAAACGCCAAAGCAACCGAAGAATGCACCCAGTGTGATTAGTATGCCAATCGCCAGGAAGACGTAGAGTGCTATGTGATAATGGTTATACGATTGTGTCATCGACAGCATGAACGTGGGATCCGTTAGCATCCACAGCGAGGTGACCACAATGGTCAAACCGATGAGCTGTGAGAAGAAACAACAAAGTTTTAAAAGAGAATATAAATAAATTTAAAAATTAGTTTGTATAAATAGGTCATGCGTTCATTTGCTCAGTGAAGTAACGTCATATTTTCCCCTCAATCTCATCAATCGAAACATTAGCAGCAAAACGCTTCAATGACGCCATGTGTGTGCTTGTGTGTGTGTGTGCGACACGCCCCACTAGAGAGAGGGGGCGGCAATTAAAGCGGGCGGCAAAAGTCGTGCCAAGAATCCCAATGTAGTATTTGCCCCACCATCCTCCATCCCCTCATGGGCATTATGAAACATGGTCCGTTTGTAACTTATGATGTCAGCAGACAGACAGACAGAGAAATTGTATATTTTGTTCATTATTTCGAGTCTGCGTTTGTCTATTTGTTTTGTGTGTTTACGCTCTTCCTGACATTAAGAGCCCCTTCTTATTTCCTTTCTGCGTTCTTTTTTGTTTTGTTATTTATTTTATTATTGTTTTTTTTTTTTTTTTTTGCCAAGACATTGAATCAAATGCCGATGCGAATGAGAGGCCATAACCTTATCATTTGTCCGTGGGGATTATCAAGCAAACGAAGCATCTCTTAAAAATGCCAGCTAATATTTTGGGCTGTGTACTCACGTCACTTGAATAATATGTATGTACGTATTGAACTCAACGCTGATTATTCTGTTTTGCATATAATATAGTATATGCTTACATTCCAATTGGAAAGGGAATGAAATTACACAACAAAGTTGCAAGTTAGAATTATATAGAATAATTATTCATATATAGTTCTGTACGTATTTACAGACTGACATTCCTATAGCAAAGCGCGAATCTCGTTGTGCTTCTTGATATCCATTACGAAATGCTCTTCAAATATTAGAGTGTTACGAAATGTTTTAACAGTATCACGGCTTCTATTTACGACTTCTCCCACGTGTGATTTTGTAATGCTAGATTCTGGTGCATTGCAATGTTTACCTTTCCATCAGCTGCTAATGATAAGATTACGCAGCTTACGGTCAGAGTCAGTGAAAACGAAACAATTGCAAAAAGTAAGAAGACGCTTCTGCAGAGAATCAAGTTCTTGAACAAACCCAATAAGAAACCTAGAAGCTTTTATTGGTACTTATTCGTATCGAAACGAAAAATATATATTATTGCATATTTAATTAACTAAAAAGTAACTTCTATTGTGTGTATAATAAATTGTGTATATTTATTGGAAAATTAATTGTCAACATTTTGTTGGTTGTAAGACATTATACGAAAAAACAAAAAATTTGCTGGTTGTCGTGCATAACTAGATCAAAATTTAAATAACATATAAAGCACTTATAGTCAAACCGACAAAAACTTTGCGGTGTTGCAATCAACTTTGCATATCATGTGTGTATATAACTTGCGATGAGGAGCAAGCTGTGAAATATGAGCATATAAATATATGTATACGTATATAAATGTATGTATGTAGATATGTACAAATGCCACAAAGACCGCAAATCGTTGCTAAAATGTAATAAGTATACATATGAATATATACCGATTAGCGATAGTCCAAAGCTTAGAGACACGAAAATAGCAACTAGTGCAGTTCTCTCATACATATGTATATACATTTTGAGAGCTGAGTCAATCTGCCAGTTAAATATTACATATGTACATAAATTAGATTTAACTTTGATCATAGTGCATAAAACAGATACATCTGGTCTTGTCAACTGCGTGAAATACAGTCATAATAAGAAGACTTCTAAACATATGACAGGTGTTCAAAATAAATACAAAAATTATAGCCAACAAATTTTTAAAAACGTATTGTACACAATAAAATGTTTTAGTATATACAAAACAAGGAAACGCAAACAAAACTGTTCAGCCGAGCAAACACCTTTTATTCCAAAGCAAACTGACACACCACCTACACTATATGGATCAAAACTCTCCCAGTTGTTGTTTATATTGAAATAGGCAGTATCGAAATTTTCGACAATGACGACCTACCCCAAGTCAAAAATATTTTCATCATAAATAAATTCATAAATACCAAATGTAACCCCCAACGTGAACTCTTGACAATTAACTGTGTTTTTAATGAAACTAACCTAACATAACTGAAGACATCGTTAGCAAAGCTCATTTCAAGCAAGCCAAAAATTTTATTTTTAAATTAAATCATTTTTAGTCAAGTGAATAGAGCGTTTAGCTGTTGAGTTTGCTGATACTACAGATAGACAAAGAATATTTATAAGGATTCATTCCTTATATATAATGCATAAGACATAAATAAATATACGTACACATATACATATACATATACATATACATATACATATACATATACATATACATATACATATACATATACATATACATATACATATACATATACATATACATAGGCATATACATATACATATACATATACATATACATATACATATACATATACATATACATATACATATACATATACATATACATAGGCATATACATATACATATACATATACATATACATAGGCATATACATATACATATACATATACATATACATATACATATACATATACATATACATATACATATACATATACATATACATATACATATACATATACATATACATATACATATACATATACATATACATATACATATACATATACATATACATATACATATACATATACATATACATATACATATACATATACATAGGCATATACATATACATATACATATACATATACATATACATATACATATACATATACATATACATATACATATACATATACATATACATGTACATATACATATACATATACATATACATATACATATACATATACATATACATATACATATACATAGGCATATACATATACATATACATATACATATACATATACATATACATATACATATACATATACATATACATATACATATACATATACATATACATATACATATACATATACATATACATAGGCATATACATATACATATACATATACATATACATATACATATACATATACATATACATAGGCATATACATATACATATACATATACATATACATATACATATACATATACATATACATATACATATACATATACATATACATATACATATACATATACATATACATATACATATACATATACATATACATATACATATACATAGGCATATACATATACATATACATATACATATACATATACATGTACATATACATATACATATACATATACATATACATATACATATACATATACATATACATATACATATACATATACATATACATATACATATACATATACATATACATATACATATACATATACATATACATATACATATACATATACATATACATATACATATACATAGGCATATACATATACATATACATATACATATACATATACATGTACATATACATATACATATACATATACATATACATATACATATACATATACATGTACATATACATATACATATACATATACATATACATATACATATACATATACATATACATATACATATACATATACATATACATATACATATACATATACATATACATATACATATACATATACATATACATATACATATACATATACATATACATATACATATACATATACATATACATATACATAGGCATATACATATACATATACATATACATATACATATACATAGGCATATACATATACATATACATATACATATACATATACATATACATATACATATACATATACATATACATATACATATACATATACATATACATATACATAGGCATATACATATACATATACATATACATATACATATACATATACATATACATATACATATACATATACATATACATATACATATACATATACATATACATATACATATACATATACACATACATATAAATATGCACATACCTACATATACTTATATATACATATTTAAATATTAATTTTTTGTATTATATAGTTTATCACAAATTTGAAGTATATTAATTTAAGTTTAAGACGAGCTTTTGCTATGAGTAAGAGTGAGCAAAGAACGAGTTTAAGTGACTGCTAGAGAGAGAGAGAGAGAGAGAGAGAGAGAGAGAGAGAGAGAGAGAGAGAGAGAGAGAGAGAGAGAGTGCGCACACACACAAGAGAACAAGTGCAAAATAGGCCAAAGCAAAGAGCATTTTGCGAACAATTTAAAAGTGTGCGTGTCCCAATAAAGCACAGTTGTAAAACAAATTTTGCAATTGGCGGAAAATTGATTACAGCAGTATAATAATAAGCACATATATACATACAACATATACACACACACACATACACACACATATGCACATACACACACATGTTCACATACACACACATGTGCACATACACACACATGTGCACATACACACACATGTGCACATACACACATACATACAGTACACACAACTGACAAAACGTCGCGTGCAAGAGAAAATGTGTGCCAAACGCTTAATAAACTCCTTAAATGACCTACATTCGTAGCTCTGCTCTGTGAAAAAATGGCGAGCGAAGAAAGACGATGAAAGAAGAACAGTTGAGCATTTGTCCTCGCATTTAAAAATTAACCACTATTTTTATATTTCAAACGTATATACATAGTAAATGAATAATTGTGCAAAAAATAGCACAACAAATTTTGAAGAAAAAAAATTAATAAAAAAATAAGGAAGAGTAAAGCAAATCACTGAAATTGATTTTATAAAAAGACGCAAGCGGATGCCAATTTAAACGTCAGACGCATTTCAGCATCAGCAGCGTCATCGGAAATCGTGAAAATGCTTGGAAATCTCAGTCACAGTTCTGCAAATGTGCATGGAAAAAGCTTAAATTACAAATTATGCAAATAAAATCAACATCAATCGAAATTACTACGTAAATTTGAATCGTCTGATAGTATGCTGCGTGTCATATACATATGTCATATATTTATTTATATATGGAATATTTCCCCAACTTATGAATACTTCGCACCACTGTGGCCAGCAACAACAATCGTCGTCCACCTCCCACTAGCAGAAGCAGCAACAAAAACAAAAACAACTACAGCATTCAAATCAACATCCACACGGAACGAAAGCAAATATTTTTGTTGGTTTGTTCGAAAATAGATTTGACTAATAAATACTATAGGGAAAAATCGAAAAACCAACAAAACACAAAAAAAAAAACATTGAAAATTCAAATTCAGTGGTCAAATTTTCTACAAGCAAACTAAAACAAACAACACATAACAATTAAGTCGATGAAGCAATCGGGAAAGAGTAAATTGCATAAAATCTCACACGGGGAAAAAAAACGTTGAACCCTTTCGGCTAGATGAGAGCGAGAGAGAGAGTGGCGCACCCAAAAGGCGCCAAATCTAGGTCCTGCCCACACACAACATCAATGTGTGTGTGTGTGTGTGTGTATGTATGCATACAGAGACAGATACAGATACACACTCGGGCGTTAAAAGAATGAATGAGGCGTTGTAGATAAGAATAAGAATACGAGAAATACGAAGGTGTAGCAAGAAGCAGACTTTAAAAACTAACAACAACAAGGCACGCATATAAAAATAAAAAGAAAAACCCAACAGGAAAAAGTCAAGACGAAAACAAGAAAAACAACACACAAACTCATGTGTGGGAGCAGCAAAAGTGAGGGGGGGGGGGAGATGCTTTCGATGTGTGTGTTTGTATGGGTGTATTTGTGTGTGTGTGTGTGTGTGTGTGTATATGTCGCATACTCTTCTCCCACCCCACAGCGGAACTCTATTGTTTATTGGAGTGTAAGGAGTGTGAGCAGCGCAGCAGCTGCACAGAGTGTGCGCGCGAGCAAAAGGGAACGCGCGCACAAACACACAGTTAAAAAATTGACGGACTGTGTATGTGTGTATTTGATGTTTATGTGTGTTCCAGTTGATGTTTGTGTTGGTGAGCAGGCTGTTTCTGCTTTTGTTGTTGTTGTTATCTGCTATTGTCTGCTTGCATACCTACCAAGAATAAGATGTTTATAAGGACCATCAAATATTTAACACACGAACAGCAGCCGTTGAGACCCATTTTTAGGGTTTTAATTTAACTCGTTTCACAGATTTTTTCGTTCGTTTACTTGACGGCTTTTTTTCACGACCGTTGTTGGTTTCCTGCCGCCGATTTAGATTTGAGAAGCTGCGTTAGATGCAATTTCTCTACTCCTTGCACTTGCACAATATTCAATTCAAATGCGCTCGCTCGTTTTGCACTCGGTTTAAACAACACTTTTCGTTTAAGACATCGACATCCTTGTTTTTTTTACCGTTAAGCGCGTTATGTTTAGCAATAATTTAAATTTTTATTTGTACATCGAAGCAGCAGCGGCGCTCTCTCAATCGCGTCTGAGTCAGTGTGACCGCCTTTGAATAGCTGAATAATGCACAAATTGCAAGAATTCTATTTCGATAACAAATTACTCTTTCAAACGCTGTGCAGCACTGCTTTAAGGATGAGCCAAATTCGATAAATTAAGTGTGTTAAAATCTAATACTAAAATATAAAAATAGCATGGTATGTCGTACTCATTCCACAATCTTTAATTTACAGTATGAATTACACCATTATCGATGATTCAACAAAAATCGAATACCTTACTATCGATAAGCAAATACGAATTCAAGTAATTGTCATTTATGGCTTCGCGGCGTTGGGTCACACTCGTGGTTCGTTGTTTTTCCATCAGAAAAAAAACAGTGAAAGAGTGCAGAAAGAAATAGTGAGAAAAAATGCATTACAAGTAACAAAACTGCAAATTAACTAATTAGTGAATAGTGCAAAAGGCTGCAGCTGATTGACAAAAAAATCAAAATCAAAATGCATTAACAAAACATGTAGCTGCGCTGTGGTAAATTCCCCACTCCAAAAAAAGCGAAAAGAAAATCGGTGCAAAAGGAAAACAAAATACACAGCCAAACGCGAATGTAAATGTAAAGTGCAGGCAAAAGGTAAGCACAATATCCCCTCACCCCTCCCCCACACACCCCACCCCCTCTCCCACTCCACCTAGTCCACACCGACTACGAGCTGCAATCAAATTGAAACAGGCTGCAGTTTTAGTAATTAAAGACCAGCCCCCCGCTACTTGCCCCTCGTCCACTCACCGCATTTGACTTTATACATACATGCCCCACAGTGAGCAAGTGTGTGTGTGTGTCTTGTAATTTTGTTACGCAGTGGAGCGCTGCGGTGGCTGTTGAAGTAGAGTCTAAGCATTTTGTATATGAGAAAAAAATCAGACAAAAAAGTTTTGCCTGCGCTTTAAGGTTTTGTTGCTGTTATTGCTGTTGTTATTATGTATATAAAATTTCACAAGTGCTGCATTTGAAGCCAGTTGCGAGACGACTTCTTCTTGTTGTTTTTGTTGTGTGTTTGTGTCTTGCCCAAAAATGATTGAAGTAGTGCAAAAGCCAAAAAAAAGAAGCAAAACTCAGCACTTACTTTGCATACACATGCATGTGTGTGTGTGTGTCTGTGTGTGTGTAACAGACACACAAATGTGTTCACGTACATATATGTCGAAACATATGTATGTATTGCTTTTCCGCCCCGCGCTTGAGCTTCTCGTAAATAAAATTCACTTTCACCTTCGATTGTGGGCAGCTTCGAGTAGCGGGAATAGTCGACCAATTAGTTTGTGTACTTCTTTAACTTAAATTATTGGTCGCCTTGGCAAATTCGAAAGTGAATGTGTAGGCATGTGTGATGTGTGTATGAAATGAAAATAGGTGCGAAAAGGAAGTCGAATTGAATTATTGAAATAAATTTAAATAAATATACAAATTTTGAATTAAAAAAAAAATAATAATAAAAAAATTATTGCAAACCATGATCAACAAAAACATTTATTATATGTTTTAAGATAACACTGCTTTTGCTCTTAATTATATTGAATCATATTAAATAAAATGCCATAATTTAAATCGCACAAATACCTAAAAATAAAATAGAAATAATAAATAAATTAAGTAAAATAAAAATATAAAGTGAAATGTAAGCAGTCAATCGTATTTACACAAAAGATAACAATGCGTATTTTGCCAAAAATTTCTTCTTATCTTTTAGTAAATAAATATATTTAATTGTTTCTTCGGTTCGTTGTTCGCTTTTTAAAAATCCGACACGCTCCCCTGGCTGCTTCTTAATTTGTCTTAATTAGAAAATGATCGGATATATGTATGTATAAATATATATACACATGTAATATATGTATATATATATATATATATTTATGTATATATATATACATATGTATATATATAAATATATGTATATATTCAACTTCGTTCCCCTCGCATGGTTTATTTCTAATTAGCGCCTTTCTGCCCCGTCAGCGTCTAATTGTCTGTCTGTCTCTGCCAGACGCAGTGCTGACAATTTCAGCAAGCGTGCAACGTGTGGGAACTGTTAAATTGTTGCATCAAAAAGGGGGACACACATTTAGATATTTCAATCATTTGCATTCCACACACACAGATACAAAGCACATAATTTAGTGCGACCAACGGCACTTGGCAACATGCGACAACAACAACAACAATAATAGACAACCGACAACTAGGAAGTTGTTGGCAACTGTTTTGCTTTTGTCTTTTGTGCTTCAATTCTCTTTATTAACATTAACGAACGTCTTCATTATCTTTAACACAGCACAGCATTCAACATTAACGATAACAGTGGGCTAACATTGTACAAGTGCATTAAACCCAATAACAACAGCAGGCGCACATGTTAATAAATGTTGAAGTGCTCGACTATCCCATACCCTGTTTAATTTGAAGGCATGTGCTTAAAAGTATGCTATCTCCAATCATAAAATCGACTAAGAACTGATTGCAAATAAAATCTATGAGCCTCTCCCTCTCTACTAGCCTTGCCGTAAATTTTGCTGTCGCCATGTGTGTGTCGATTAGCAGATTAGCAGAACGCAGGTCATTATTTGGCTTGCTTTCGCTTCGAAATGTTCTCTTACTAAATAGAGACCCGATCTCTTGTGCGAACAGGTACCGACTTCTTATATGTGTGAATATAGTAGCAATATCGTGCAGACTTTTAAATATCTGTAAAGAGAGCAGCAACACTCTCACCTTGTCTTCTATTGTATGCTTAGTAATGTTATGCATTCTGTATGCACATGTAAGACGAATTACAATCAGAACGAGCTGTAGTCTAATCAAAAGATATTGTCTTAACTAGAGAAACTTCATACTAAACCTAATAGGAATTCTGCTGGCTCATGAATTACACGTGCATAACTTGGTGGAAATTAACTTTAAAGTAAGTTTGGATCTCTTTCGAAAATTATGAAAAGGTATTATAATATCAATTGATTAGTTTCCATACTTTGCTGGAATTCTGTGCGCTTTTTGCTTATCATAAGCATAGAAATGTTTCTACCACAAATCGCTAGCTCAGTGGGAAAAGGCCAAAATACGACAAAGTTGATACCGTCTCAAATTTCGAAACCACAGTAGATGAAGATGGAAAAGAAATTCTTTTAAACGTTTTCGGGGAAACTCATTTGAAATTCAGTTCATAATGTTACTGAAATTTCACTTGTGTTTTTGATGACTTACTAATTTTCAGTTTTCTGGGAATTTTGGGAAACTTATCTGAAATTCAATTCTTAATGACCGTTTGACTTTCATGATTTAGTTTTGGGGCGCTCATCTAAAACTAAATCAATACACTCCAAATGAACTTAACCAAAAGAAAAAAAAACAGGGTATTCTAACGGCAGTTTGAAAATGGTATGTGAACATGCCAGAGAATTTGTTGCAATAACAATACGCGCCCACAACAACAACAAGCAACGTAAGGTGTATAACTACAAGTGGCAAAAGCACAACAGAAACTGGGTAATGCTTTTATAATTTATTCCAGTGACTTTTTATGGCCTGCTTCTTTGTGCTTAGGCCCGTTTATTTTTTCACACACACCGGCAACAGTTGTGGCTTGCCGTGTTCCGCTTTTGCTACTGCTGTTTCTGCCGCGACGGGGTGGAAAACTTTAACCCGCATGAAAGTTAACCTTATTGTCTGGACGTTGGTTGGGATTTTCAGGTCTTGCGAGTGCTGAACGAATATTTAACTATACAAAGTAAATCATACAATTTGTTTTTCAGTCAGAGCAGCTGTTTAAAGTTCTTTAAGAAACTATAGCAAATACAAGAAGAAACAAAGCAAACAAAGTCGACAATAACTAAACACACACACGCAGAGCAGACATTTTGGGTTTACCATAGCTGGTTTCGAACTTTCATGTATTCCAAGGTTATCATTTAATTTTCTAATAAGCCCAAAACAAATTTCAGTTTCATTGCAGGAAGCAACGTCGCACAGACAACAACGGAGCATCAGCAGCAGCAGCAGTTGGTTGGTTGGTGCAGATAAGCACTATTGATAACAATTGATACTGAGACCGAGACTGAAACTCAAACTGAAACTGAAACTGGTTTCGATTGACCGAACGAGTCTCCTGCGCAGCGGCAGCGGCAGCGGCCACATTCTCGCTTATCATTGACCGAGCATGTCGCACGGCAGCGCCGGCGCGCAATCTGGTGGCGGTGGCGTTGGCGCTGGTAGCGGCAGTGTTGGCGGCGGCGCAGCGGCTGCGGCGGCAGCAGCAGCATCTAATTCCGAATATCGTGAGCTACATTGGACGGTGTCGAGCGTGATGGACTCGTCACGCGTATCTACCTGCCTTATATCGATGCTCCTGATTGTCTACGGCAGTTTTCGCAGCCTCAACATCGAGCAGGAGGCTCGCGAGCGTGAGCAGAAGAAGCGCAACGAGTCCATGACAAATCTGCTAACGGGCGAGCAAGTCGAAAAGGAACCAAGTAAGTCAACTTTATGCACTCTGCCATTTTTAACAATTTTTCTTCTTATATATATATTCATCGCTACAGTTGTAGCTAGAAATATATATTTACATGCCTGAATTAGTGAACCGAATGAAGGAATATTGTCTGAAGTTTATTGATTTCTTAAGCAAATTGTGGTTTGTAAATACCAATATTAGATAGCAAGAAAAAAAATAAATCAAGAGAGAACGTCGGTTACCCCGACCCGAAATACTCTGATATCAGTAAGCGATAACATCTGATAACAGAACAGATTGCGTATAGTCAAGAAATACCAATCTTTGACGGAAGTACCTAGTAATCTATCCTTTAATTTTGCCTTTAAAATTGGCTTTTGCGAATCTTTTGGGGACGGGATTGGACGTGGCCGAAAAAAAGGTTGGAGGAGTTTCCTTGTAATCTACTTTCCAATATAGGCTTTTGGAAAAATATTAGAGAATTTTCCTAAATGTAGCTCTTAAATATTGGTTTTGGGTTTCTCGTTTTAAAAATTTTGACCATCAGGTATATCGGTTTTGGGAAGATATTCAGAAATATCGCTTTTGGCCATATAATTTCTTATCGATACTTAAAGGCGGTTACCAGTAATATACCTTTCAAATTTGAAAGTTTATCTCAAAAACTGCGAAAGATACAGTAATATCCAAGCGGGGGCGTGTCATATGCCTTTGAAGGACATCGCTAACCACGTACCAACCAAATTTGGTGACTAGCTTTAAATTTTTGCAGAGGTATGTATTTATCGATTTCCGATTGTCAAATATCGATTTTATCATGAAGTAGGTTCTTCTCAAGGGAGTACGCAGGGGGAGAAATAGACACAAAATGGTTTAGATTAAAATTTGTGGGAAAATTATAATTCGGCAATCTCACCTTACAATTTTCGGATCCTTTTCTCGAAAAACTGCTTACGACCTTGGCTGCTCTATAAATATATATTTTTATACAAATTTCTGTTCTGTACTTAATGATTCAAAATTTTAGTTGAACTGCATATAAATTAGCAACATATGAAAAAACATGTTTGTCGAGTGAACAGACTTTCTCAATAAAAATTCAATCAGTAACTGCCAAAATCAGTGAATTAATTGGACTCAACAAAAAACAAAAAGCGAAATCAAATGCACAAACATTAAGCGCCACTTTACGTTTATGTCATTTCGCTTTAGTAATTTAATTAAGAATAAATATTGAAATAAAATGATTAAGTTTTTTATGAAGCTATTTTATAGATTTGCTTAAATGAAAGAGCAATAGCATTGCATAATATAATTATTATTTGTTATTTAAGTACATAAGCTATCGTTAAATATGAAACTCAAAATTCTTAGTCGATTCTGTTGTAGCGGACAAGTTTGCAACGCTGGATACGATGCATGCGCTGTGTCTGCCACTTGGCGCTTCCATATCGCTGCTCATCATGTTCTTCTTTTTCGACTCGATGCAGCTGCTCTTCGCCGTGTGCACAGCCAGTGAGTGTAACTTGTTAAGTTGTTATGTTGTTAAGTTATGTGTTATGCACATCTGCTTACAATAATTGAACAAACATTTCATACATATTTTCTCATTGTTGTTATTAATGCGGTTGTTTGCAGTCATTGCCACTGTGGCGCTGGCATTCCTCCTGCTGCCGATGTGCCAGTACATCATACGTCCCTGCACGGATGGGAAGCGTTTCTCCTTTGGGATCTGTGGTCGTTTTACGGCAGCGGAGCTCTTTAGCTTTACGCTCTCCGTATCCATTGTGTGCGTCTGGGTGCTCACTGGTCACTGGCTGCTAATGGACGGTACGAGAAATTGAATCACCTTGAATTTCAATTGAAATTCATTACTGCATTACATTAAATTTCAATGTTGGTATTTGTTACAGCCATGGGCATGGGTCTGTGTGTCGCATTTATAGCGTTCGTGCGATTGCCCAGTTTAAAGGTGTCAACTCTGCTGTTGACCGGTCTGCTGATCTATGACGTATTTTGGGTGTTCCTCTCATCGTACATATTCAGCACAAACGTGATGGTCAAAGTGGCCACACGACCCGCCGATAATCCCGTTGGCATTGTGGCCCGCAAATTGAATTTGGGCGGCATTGTGCGGGACACACCGAAGCTGAATTTGCCGGGCAAACTGGTCTTCCCCAGCATACACAACACCGGACATTTCTCAATGCTTGGCCTCGGCGATGTGGTGATGCCGGGTCTGCTGCTCTGCTTTGTGCTTCGCTATGATGCATATAAAAAGTCACAGGGCTTTACATCGGATCCAACGCTATCGCCGCCAAAGGGTGTTGGCTCCCGGTTAACATATTTTCATTGTTCCTTATTGGGGTAAGTCGATCGCTTGTTGCTCTTGTTGTTTTGTTCACGCTTTTACCATCATCATCATTATTTCATTGCAGCTATTTCTTGGGTCTTTTAACGGCTACGGTCAGTTCGGAGGTGTTTAAGGCCGCGCAGCCCGCCTTACTCTATTTAGTACCGTTTACGTTATTGCCACTGCTGCTGATGGCCTATTTGAAGGTATGCGAAAGTCTACTTAATATATCTTATATATATATATTCACTAACTATAACTGTTTATTGCAGGGCGATCTTCGGCGGATGTGGAGTGAACCTTTTATTGCGCATCAACCATCAAAACAAATGGAAGTCTGAGTGAACTCTATCTTAAAACAGAATTAAACAAAATAAAAACCCAAGAAAAATAAGGAATAAGAGACAAACGAACACCACACAATTCTAAAACTATGAATTATATCTCTTAAAAAGCTTTTTTTTAAGTTAGGTGATCCTCTTTTTAGTACAGTAACAGCAAAACCGAATAATAAATGTACGTAGTTTTAGCCTAAGTGGGAAAGTTTTTTAAAACCACACAAATGTACTTGTATATGTTAATTGAATTTGGGCTTTACGTTGCGCAAGGCAATAACTAGACTCAGCTTATGCTGAACGTAATATTGAGAATGGAATCAAATGGCAGATTTCAGATGCGCTTCAATCTCGCTCAGACTCAAGCTGCATTCTTACTTACATACAAACCTGCATATATACTATATATAGTAAAGGTTTAGTATTAGCTCGATTTTTTATTTAGCAACTGTTGAGATTTAGTTTTGTTCATTTAGTTTTAAAAAAGCATTTTCAACATTTCCAACAACACATGAAAAGCGAACATAACTTCACCATCATTTTTGTATTCGCATCAATTATTCATTTTCTGTAAATACTTAATTTTAATAACAATCACAAATAATAGTTAGTAAGTGGCCCGCATTTTAAATTCATACGATTTCAATTGTCTTTTTCAACACACATTTCCGTCCCCATTTCTATTTCCTGCATTCAACTTACACACACAAAAAAAATATGTTTTGCCAAAATGCATGTGTTCGATTAAAAAGATAAATATTGAAGAAAGAAAGAAAGAAAACAAAAAAAGCCAACAAACAAAGAAAACATATGTTGCACTCTGTGTGTTTCACAAATTAAGTTTCAAGAATTTTAATTATTTATAACGATCAAGCAAACCTAACAATAATACATAATTATAAATACATGCATAGTAGTTACATAATAATTTTAAGTAAATGCAATTTCGAAACATATAGAAACAATAAAAAATGTGAGATTTGAACATAAATCATTCAAATAAATAAATTCACTTAAATATTACTCGACTGTGTATATATTACTTATACATATATACATACAGTTTTAATAATCGGAGCTGAAATGCGTGTTTCAAAACTTTAATTTTATGCGGTTCTCATTTGCTTCGTTTTTTTTTTTTGTTTTTTTGGCTGGGTAAATGTTAATAGGGATGTAAAATGCCAACATTTCGTAGTGCGACTTTTGATGTTTAAAGTTTATATTTTGCGGAATTAGAATCTGCCTGCTTCAAAATGTCACGAAATTTACTACATAATTTTAATTCCGAAAATTTGACCATCGTTGACATTCAAAAATAATAATAATCACGAAATTTACTAAATAATTTGAATTCCGAAAATGTGACCATCGTTGACATTAAAAAAATAATTGGCGCCCAATGCCGAAAATATCAACCATCGATTACTTCGCGCTCCGCTCCGATAGATAAAAAATAGCGGTGCAGTGGAGGAGGGTCGATAATTTAATAAGTTAGGACTGACGATTCTTGTGGTGTTCAGACGATAGACGATTGTATTGCGTTGTGTTTTTCTTCTGGAAAATAAAAATATTGCGGAGAAAATAGTGAAAAATTGTAAGTTAAGTGGAGAATTACAAGTAATAGTTGAGTGCGCGCCACCCAATAAATAGTTGAATAACGCGTAAATGTAAGTTGAATATGTGAATAAATTGCAACGCCAAGAACAAATGTGTAGGTGTGATACGCATACATACGCATGCTGAGCGTGCAGCCAGTTGCATTTCAATAACAAATGGGAAATTGTAGCATTTTCTGAGTTGAGCTGGCCTTGACTCTGAATGCGCTGTGACTTCAGCTTATCATCGAATCTGCAAAACAAAAACAAAACAGCAGCCATATCACACACACACACATAACACGCATTCCACACACATTTATAGATATACGGTGTGTATGTGTGTGTAGATACGTTTTTACGCCTACACTTGACGTAAAGTAGCATTTACAATAAACCGAGAACGTAAGAACGTAACAGTATATGTAACGTAACCTGTGCGCAAAATCAGCAACGTAAACGCAAAATGCGCATTTTGCGAACTAGTTCATCCTGTTTACCAAACAAGATGCTCTTCAGAAGTACCTGAGCCGGAACGAACTGACGATGCTCTTCAGAAGTACCTGATCCTGAACGAACTGACGATATTTAATAATAATATGTCATTTTAATTTAATAATAATTTCCAGAAAATAAAATATTCACTGTATTGGTCTTATTCGATCGTCAATTCTTATTTATAAGAAATCAAGGCACATTTTATGTTTCAATCACCTTAATTCGCAAATAAGAAATCATAATTATAAAATTTCTGAAAGACAATTCTAAATACATTGCATTAAGCTCCTTCGATCTTAAAAATCGAAGAGACATTTTCTGTTTTAATCACATTGATTAAAGTACAAAAAGACGCAAATAATTTATAAGATTAAGATAAGATATTTGTTATTATCATTATAATTTTTTTTTGTATAGAAACGTTGTGTTGTATATTTAGCAAAATCTTATATTTTTAATTATTTTTTAATGATTAATTTTTTCATGACTGAGTTTAATTATGAATGTTATTTGTTCTCGATGCTGATAATGTTGTGCAAGAATGCTGGGAGTAATTGTAATGATAGTAATTGTAATTTACTTTAGTCGGGACATCTTGGAAGACAAGCTCATAATTTAACATATGTTGTATAATAGGGTAAAAAATTTAAATAAATCATTAATTTATTCGTCATTCGACTAAGAGACCCATATATTAGAGTATCAAGTTTAGAACGACCTTCAGAAGGATATTTGGCTTACATACGGAGTTTATACAATGGAAGTTCATCCATTAATGCATTAAAATTAAAACCATTTATTTATATGTTATTTTGCAGCAGCACGGACTTCCGCTGGGTAACTCTTGCATCAAACTGAATATAAACGGGCACCACGAACCGGAGCAGCGCCACCACCACCCGCACAGACATCAGCAGCCGTCGCATCTGCACATGGGTGGCAACAGCGCTGCGTCTAATGCGAGCGCTTTCAGCGCTGGCGGCTACATTGGTCCGACAACGAGTCTGGGTGCTGCCGGTGGCAGTGATTTGATACCAGCCCCAATGGGCACCGGCACAGCAATTGGGGGCAGCAGCGCAACCTATTCCTCGGGCGGTACCACTTGGGAGGAGTTCTGCGATCGCCATGCGCGCGTTGCCGCCAGCGACTTTGCCAAGGCATGCATCACCTTCATCAATGGCAGTCTGCCGCCGGAAGTGGCACGCAATATTCCGTATCACAGTTTTGCTGCCAAATATGTCGAGTATTTTTCACAGCACTACGATACCGAGTTCTTCAGACGACGCAGCAATTTGAAGACGGACATCGGCTCCCTCTTCGATGGTGGAGGCGGAGCTGTAAGCAGTGATTTCGGTGCGGAGGAGCATGAGGTGTCGCGTCTGTTCCCCAAGTCGCTGCTGCGCCGGCTCTCCTTCAAGGGACTGCGCAAGGGCAAGGTGAGCGTACAATGTGGACAATTGTGGCCAATGCTCCAGGTCATCAAAGGTTAACGTCAGAAGCTCTTCTTTTTGCAGGCCTTCTTTCACAAGAACTCGGACGATGTCGACGGCGTCGGCAGCAGCAAGCAAAGCAACAAAACCAAGCTGGCCAAAATCGTTGTGGAATGTCGCAAGGAAGGTATCGTTAATAATTTAACAGCCGAAAGCTTGGATCAAACGGCTGGCACACAAAAATGGGAAAAATGCCGACTGGCATTGGTCAAGGCCGTGGGCGGTTATATGCTTGAGTTTTATACGCCCCCCAAATCGACAAAGCCGCGTAGCGGTGTCTTCTGTTTCCTCATCTCGGAGGCACGCGAAACAACCACACTCGAGATGCCTGATCGCATGAACACGTTCGTGCTCAAGGCGGACAACAACATGGAGTATGTGATTGAGGCCGATAGCGCTGACGACATGCGCAGCTGGCTGGCCACCATCCGCTATTGCATGCGAACGCCGCCAACCCAACAGCCAATGCTCGACTCCGATGTGATTGCGGCAGCGATGCAAACATCGCCGGTGACCACAAATCCCAATCCGACAACGAGCGGCGGTGCGGGTGCAGGCTGTGCATTGGGCGGCATACAGAATCCCCAATATCAACAGCAGGGGGGTCTTGGCGGCTCCAATGGAAATCTAGTCAATTCGCAGTCTGCGGACAGCGCCTTGACTGTCGCCGCCGGCTCAGGCAGCAACAATGCAGCCAATTCCGCCACGGATGTGAATGTCATTTCGCAGGCCAGCCATGAGTTGAGTAGCACGCCACCTGAAATCCCCTCGCGTCCATCCCGAGCCGAGGGTGGGCGGGGTGAACAGCGTTTGTCCTCGTCGAGTAATTTTGATGGCAATGAGCTGGTGGAGAACGAATCCGATGTGAATGTGGCCGATCTGACGGCTGAGATGCGTCTATTTCCCTGGTTCCATGGTACGTTGCCACGTGCCGAGGCGGCTCGCATGGTGCTGCAATCGGAGGCAGCCGGTCATGGTTACTTTTTGGTGCGGCAAAGCGAAACGCGACGAGGTGAATTTGTGCTCACATTCAATTTCCAAGGACGGGCCAAGCATCTGCGCCTGACAATCTCGGAGAAGGGCCAGTGTCGAGTGCAGCATTTATGGTTCCCGACCATCCAAGAGATGCTCGAGCACTTCCGGCACAATCCCATACCGCTTGAGTCCGGTGGCACTTCAGATGTGACGCTCACGGATTGGGTGCATCACACGAGCAGACTGAACGATCCGGCCGCCAACATAGCAACAGGTCCAAATGCCGCCGCAGCGCACGAGGCAGGCGTCGATGTGGCAGCTTCTGCGGCTGCTGGTGTCACAAGCAACGTGGCCAGCAGCTCTGGCAATGCGAATGGCAATGGCAATGGACATCCATCGCCGAGACATGTGAGATAGCCAAAATTTTGGAGTCAATTCAGTGTCAGTGATGGTTTTTATTTTCCTTTATTTGATTTTGTAACGTTATCATTTTATAAAAGTGGGGATTGCCAGAGATTGCCATAAATGAATCATATTATCAATAGGAATTAGGAACAGGATTGCCATAAATTATCCGGAAATGATCAATGACCACCATCAGCAATAGGAATAATCTGAGATTAACAGCAAATGCAACATGGCTTGCATATTAACTAAAAGTTCTTGATTTTCAACTGCAGCCGGGCCCTATAAGACAAAATATCTATTAATATAGAAATAAGCTTGGATTCATTAAGTTAAATTCGCGTAGTTTTAAACGTTTCTCCTTTTTACACAAAAAATGCCTTTCAATAATGATTCATTATAGATTTTGTGCGTCTACTGTGAATATAAAATTCTATATATTTATTGAGTTATAGTTGTAAACGAATTTCAAAGGGTTTCTGTTGGAATTGTTTTTGAAAACATTCGGTAGATATTTTTAAAAATTATAGTATTGTATTTAAGTCTACAATTTCAATGATAATTATCTTCTTGCATCAGATAGTAATAATAACAGAGCTAAATTTTATCTATTAAAATATTCTACTAGGATACTCTATATCTGAAACGGCTAAATTTGTTCTTTTATATGTAATGGGAAATTTAGCAGTCTCTCTTCTGTCTAAATTCTTGATTGGTTCTTCACTTCAAGTAAATGAATTTTTGTTAATTTAAATGTTGTTGCAAATCATTTGGTAAGCTGTCTTTTGTATTTTATTTTTGTTTTGTGTTCAGTTTAAATTCGTTTCCATTATTCTCGAATGTTTCATGTGTTAGCTCACACAAAACATATTTTAAGTGGATAGCTGAAATCTAATCGTAATTTGAAATTCTTAAACATTTACAGTGCAACGAAGTGATTACCATGAATCTAAGTGTTCGCCTAAAGACAAACGAAATCGAACTGCCACAGGAGCCAACACACGTCTATTTTCCGGAGCAAGTCTACTTTCATTTGGATCCTACAACGCTGACCGTTCACCAATCGCCGCCGGCTGGTCAAGGATTCCTGGATCAGCCGCATCTACGGGCGTCGAATGCATCACTTCAGGCTGCCCATCCGGGCGCTGGCCCGGCACGTCACGGCGGCGACACGAACGCCGGTGGCAGTGGTGGTGGTGGTGCTGGCAGCAGCAGCAGTGGCGGTGGCGGCAGTGGTGCAGCAGCCGGAGCCGAGTGCAGCGGCCGCGCCATTGATAATCAATATAGCTTCACTTAAGCGCATGTCGCGCCAATGCATGGAATGAGATTTGGAACTTCTTGCGCGGAATTTATTTTTGTGCCATTGCGTTGCAGCAGCATCAGCGAAATATTTTTATATTTTGTTAATTTCCTCCTTCTATATTTTTTTAAAACTGTTTTGTGTTTGCAAAGAACAAATGTCTGTGCGTAAGTCGCATTCTTGTTTCTATTAATTTGAGAGACTTTTTGGAAGACATGAAGTAACTGAATATTATTACGATTACGATTATGATTGTATACATTAAATAGCTAAATGTGTGTGTTCATTTTAAGTACATATGTAAGTGTTGTATGTATAACAAAAAACAAAAACAAAAGTGTAAAATTTGTGGCACCAAAGGTGCGACACTTGCGAATCCTAAAACTTCCTGCTTTACAAAAAAATACATACATATATACATTTTATATATATGTATATATATATATATAAATATGTGTATATACATATAACTATATATAAATATATAACCTACACTTAAAAATATGAAATCATATATATATTTAAATTATATTAAAACTGATAAACTACAATAAATGAAGTTATATGAATGCATATAAATAAAAATATATTTAAAAGAAAGAAAGTGTGCGTATGAAAAGCGGTATTGAATGAGAATGAGAGAAATGTATTTTAGATTTACTTATTATTTTTTGGATCAAAAGCCGTTGGCAATAAGATACATGTAGCTTCGATTACAAATAAAAGCGATAACAATTCGGTGTATTTCCGAAAACGCAGTTCGCTCGATCCGTGAGCTACTCATTCGATAGTTGAGCAATTATGAATCGATTTTAGACATCGATGAGTCTCTCCATCTGTTTATTTATGAAGTTACATTCAAGAAAAACCCACAAAAAATAAATCACAAATTCTTCTCAGAATCGTAATAAACGTCTATAATGATAATAAGCTTTAATAACGGCTTGAGCTACTTTTCAAAATTATTAGAGATGGGTATTCGGAGCTAGCCTCTTTGTGACATTTAAACAAGTGTGACCAGCAGTCGGAGAAATAATATACAGAGCCGGAAAAAAATAACAAAAAAGAGAACAGCCGGCAATGGATCTCGAATTGGATATAGTAGATTCTCTGGGCGCACTTGGCTATAAAAACGTGCAGCAGGAGGCACTGAGCCAAGCCCTGGATGGTGGCATTGGCAGCGTTGGCTTGCGCGAACTGATTTACTGGCTGGCCAATCAATTGCACTTGCTGCGCAAGACCGACGAACATATCGCATCCAGCAGCAAGGAGAACAATGATTTCGCGTTCGAGCTGTCGCTGCTGCTCACGGAGCTGGGCTGTCCGTACAAACAGTTTGTGGCTGGGCCGATGTCGGAACGCTTTCAGACACGTGCTTCGCTGCTGCAGCTGCTCGATTACCTCACCGCCGAGCTGATGGCCACTAAGATGACAATGAAACTGCAGCCAAACGAGCCGCCCAATAAAAAATCAAAGACTGAATCGCATCTGCAACATGCGGTGACGCAGCTGACTGCTGACCTTCAACTGGGTGACCTACCCAAAAACATCAATGCAAAGCTGCTGTTCGAGCGGCTCACTCCCAAACTGGAGCAGCGACTGAAGGAGAGGCAGCAGTCGCTGCTTGGTGAGCCCCTAATGCGCATGGGCAAACCGTTGACTGATGTCCAATGGCGTGTACTCGAAACCATGCACAAGGATCTGGACGAGGAGTACAATCTGCGGCGTCAGATGATGCTGACGCGCCTGGAGGCGACTGTCCAGAGTTTTCAGTGGTCTGAGAGCATGAAGAAGCAACAGAAAGAGATTGGCGATCGTGTTCAGCGTAATCTCAAGGAGATTGAGAAACTCAAATATGGCGGAGAGGATACTAATATTGTGGCACTGTTGGCTGCTCGCACGGATCTGGCCATCATTGAAAAGACGAGCTCGGCGAATGTGCGCAAGAACACTGCGTCGAAGATAGAGAAACATGTGATTGGCCACGTGCCGGATCGTGGTGGACGTGCCAATGAGCACGCACCGCCGCCACCAGAGATGCCCTCCTGGCAGCAGCAGCGTGCCGGCGGACCTGGCGGTGGCGGTCGTGGCGGCGGCGGAGGAAGCCGTGGTGGAGGAGGAGGAGGAGGAGGCCGTGGCGGTGGCGGCAATTTCCGTGGCGGCAATACAGGTCGCGGCTCTGGTGGTGGTGGGCAAAACTGGCAACAGCCAGGGCAGCAACAGCCGCAGCAATATAATCAGCCGTACCAACAACAGCAACAGCAGCAGCAAAACATGGATCAGCAGCAGTGGATCAACAGCAGTGGACGTGTCCAAGGCACTGGCTGGAATCCTCAAGCTGACGGGCGTGGCGCTGGTGGCTACAATGGTGGTGGTGGCGGCGGACGCGGCGGACGCGGCGGCTACAATCACTACAATCAACGCGGCGGCTTCCGTTGATCCATTCTAGTCAGAGTTTGAACTTATCTGCCGCTTATACTAATTACCTTAATTTAACTAATATTTATTTACGATAGAATGTTTCAATGTTTTTTATTCTCCCAACAACGTGCCTGTCACCTAATTTAACATGTTCTGCAAAACCCATAAATTCATATGTTAATTGTTAGTAGGGAGAAATTAAAAATATAGAAAAACCTTGTCATCTCGAATATAAAATCATGCATCGCGTTTAATATTTGAGGTGGCGTTTTTACTTTCAACTGGCTAATCTACTTTGGCGTTTGTTTTTGTTTTCCTATCGCGCAGAGACGTCACCAACTGGGAGCCAAGCTGTTGATAAGCTGTTATCAAAGTACCTAACGTACTTGCGTTTCATAATTTTATAGTTTCTCAAACAAATTTATATTTACAAGTCTCGCCATTTCAGAAAGCTATGTTAAAATGTGTTTGAAAACCTAATAGCTAATAAATTTAAAAAAAAAAAGAAGTTAACTTCATTAAGTTTCGATTTCTTATACAACAAAATAAATAGTTTCTGAGACTTATTTCATAATTGTACACAGAAACTTCACTAAAACATAAAATAACTTAATAATAAAAGCTTCTTAAAAATATGAGATCTTAGAGTTTGTGCAATTTACAAGTTTATATTCAAATATGTTTGAAAACATCAGATCAGAAAATTGAACGCCCTTTAAATTACTAATATATTTTAAAAATTTAATTTCTGAAACTTTTGTTTCTATATACAATAAATTAAAAATAAAAAAAGTTGCAAGCTCGTATTTCATAATTGTTGTATATAGAAAATATACTAAAAGATAAGATTCACTTAAAAAAAAACTTCTTAAAAATGCGAAACTTATGTTTGAGGCCTTTAAAATTTTAATTCAGTTGAAAATAAATATTAATTTAGAAACAAGTTCTTTAAAATGTATGATTTATGCTTGAGGCTTTTAAAATATTTGTATTCACTTTTAGACAATTCAAATTTATTGATGTTTTAACTCTTTGAAAATTTTATGAAATTATTTAGAAGGTTTTTATTCCGTTCGTGGAGTACATTTTGAATAATCACTAAAAGATTTACTGCTTAGAATATGAGTTTAAGGACAATCAAAACGTAGAAATTTCGTCTTAGGCTTTAAGAAATGAATTTGAACCCGATCGAATGTAATTACTGTATTTTTCAGAAATCCATCTTAGTGTTAATTTTTGAAAAATGTCACCTCATCTGTTTTGCTTGCTGAGCTGATTGATAAGTTGGCCTAATTTATATAGATGTGCGTATATACATTAATCAAAATTCGGTTTGGGACTACGTGCATAGTACAATGTTTAGATTTGGGTTAGATCTGCGATTGAATGGCGTACCCTACGCCCCTGGAAAGGTAACGAAGCATCAAACACGCGACACTCAATTGCCATTGAGCAGCGGCTCAATCTAGCGATATATTCTGGTGATATAGCTACTGTCCACAGCCGGCAATTAACGTGTTCAATCGGCATGAAAACTATGTCGAAGTCATCCAAATGACAACGACATGGACAGGCCCACACAGCTTTCAGTTCAGTTCCACCGAAATATTCGCGGAGATCGGTAGCACTACCGAGGAGTGTTTACCAACATTTTGTCTTAACTCCGCAAATCGCTTGACAGCAATTAGCCGCTATGCTGCTGTTCAGTTGCAACCCAATTTTAGCGTTTCTGCTTTTTAACGTTTTTAACAGCAATTTTGTGCCTGGCAGCGCACAAAATCTATTGGATCGCTTCCGACCCGCGCCCGCCAATCTGACACGCACCGATGACGTCAAAGTGGTGTCCGGCACAAAGGTGAAGCGCTACGAGCGCATGACAGTGCCACTGGGGGGCTTTGGGCCAGTTGTGGGTGGCATCGGTGCAGCCGGACTGCTTAGCCCCCTGCTGCATCCACAGCCGGCATACGTCGGCTACGCTTATGTAGGTCCTATTTAATTAGCCATGATTCAAGCGAGTTAAGCAAGAGCTCTTCCTCAGGTACCCCAGTGGCAGGCGGGCGCAAGGCTTGTGGGTGACGGCGAATCAGCGGCTGCAGCCGGCATGATCACTTTCCAGCAGCTACCCTACAACAGTGACATCAAAGTGACTATCAATGTGACTGGGCTGCCACCGGGAAAGCATGCCCTTCACATACACACATACGGCGATGTCACAGAGGGCTGCAGGTCCACAGGCGGACAGTTTCCCAACAATTTTGTAAGTCGCTCCAGTTCAAATACGATTCACTTAAACCAAAAATCTTCATTTTAAGTTTTTGCAGCCTATTTTAAGAATATGTCTCTTTGGGCACACAATAGAACAATTTTTGCATTAGTGGCGTTTTCGAATATCCCTTTTAATTTATTTGTAAATATGAGTAATTATTTTTTATGAAAACGTTATTTTCGAGTACATATATTCAAAAATTTTTGATATTTTGTAAAATGCTTATTTATTTGAATTTTAACCGATAGAAAAAATCGAAGATTGTTTAAATATTTTTTTTTTTTTAATTAAATTAATAGTTTTCAACGTAATTAATTAGAGGAAAATGTAAATACACACACAAACAAAATATATATATAAAATATTAAAAATATCCGTATAAATAAATATTACAATTATTTGAAGCACAAATAATACCTATAAATTTAAATGTACAAAAATGCAGACAAGCAATTCTTTCCAATATTTTTCTTTCAATTTGAACCATTGACTTATTTGCAGCTTGGTAATCTGGAAGTCAAGGATGATGGCAGCATATCGGCAGTATTTATGAGCATCTACCTGCAGCTGTTTGGCTTCAATGGCATCGTTGGCCGCTCCGTCGTTATCCACAGTAAGCCAATCGATTTGAATACGGCTCTCAATGCGGAGGTGTTCTCCTCCGCTCTATCCGTGCCCAATGCCTTGGCCTATCAGAACGAGGAGATGTCGGTCGGTGCGCCAATTGCCTGTGGGGTCATCAGTCTGATGAGCACAGCTAGCACGGCACCGACCCCGTCTACCACTAGTGCACCCTAGTTATAATTATTTGATAATCATCATAATCAACATTTAAAACAATAAGCACTCAATTTTCATAGCAATCTGCAAATAAATAAAAAGTATTTTTGCCAAAAATATATAATTTTTAATAGTTATTTTCCAATTTACGATGTGAGCTTGAGTACAAAAAAAGCGAATAAGCATAGCAAACGAAAATAATCGTTAAAAATTATGTACATATTTAATTTGTGCATATTTATTTTCATACGAATCAAATTTATTTATAATGAATTTTGCAATGTAAAATGTGAAATAAATTTTACAAAAATACTTTTTAAATTATTACCACTTAATGATCTGAAAAGCTCTTTCGTCTAAAGCCTTCCAACTGTCTTGTCTGCTTGATACAGGCTTACGGGGTATCTAGCAAACGAGCGTATTTTGTGTTTGGCAAATCAAAAGACAATAAAATGCAGCTCAGCTTTTATTATGTAAACGTGCTGCGCATGCGTAACTATTTGGAGGCCTCCCCAGTTTGGATTTCCAAACTTTCTTCGGAAGTTGCGCTAGACCTTTGAGCGCAGTTGAAGGTTGTAATTTGATATGATTGCTATAAGTAAAAGCCGTTGCTGGCTTCTAAGCGCTTTGAGTGTTGCGATGGTTGTCTGCTGTCATCTGGAGTTGGGCCAGGCTCAGATGCAGCTGAAGATGGAACAGCCGGCGAGCACTAAAACAGACTGGCTGACATTTCCCTGGTCGCGCCACAACAAAACCAATAAGGTGACGTACTTGGCTGCGGGCTTGCACCTGAAGGATGAGTACAGTCAGGTGGACATATCCAGTTTCGCTGGCTTCGAAAGTCATCCCTGCCGTCGCGTCTGCCAGAAGGGCCAGACGCAGAGTTGCTACTATCAGCTGGTGGTGCACAACTATCGTCGCCTTGGTGCCGAGTGTCAACGTTGCCAGTTCGATGAACGCGCCTGTGCCGGCGAGAACTGCATCTATGGAGATGGCATTTCCACGCCAGTTATGGCCGTCAATCGAATGGTGCCCGGACCAGCTATCGAGCTGTGTGAGAACGACACCGTTGTGGTGGATGTGCTGAACTACTTGAGTGAGCCGAGCACAATCCACTGGCATGGAGTGCACATGTCGCGTACACCCGAAATGGATGGCGTAGCCCATGTCACCCAGTATCCGGTGCAGCCGGGCGAGGTGTATCGCTATGAGTTCCAGGCAGATCGCAGCGGATCTCTGTGGTACCACAGCCATGAGGGCTGGCAGCGGGGCTTTGGTGTGGCTGGCAATCTGATAGTGCGACAGCCCCATCAGGCGAACCCGCATGCACGGCTCTATGACTACGATCTGGTGGAGCATGCGCTGATGGTGCAGGACATTTTCTACGACAACAACATTCAGCAGGTGCGCAATATTCTGATCAACGGTAAGGGACGCAATCATCTTAGCCAGCTGCCCGATCAGGATCCCAGGCATCGCTATGAGCGTCTGCGCGTTACGCCTGGCTATCGATATCGCATGCGGGTCGTGCTCAATGGTGTGTTCAATTGTCCGGTTGAGTTCTCTATTGAGCAGCACAAGCTGCTGATCATCAGCGCGGATGGCAACGATATTGAGCCAGTGCTGGCCGATGGCTTCTTTCTCACAGCAGCGGAGCGTTTTGACTTTGTGCTCGAGGCAAATCAATATGCAAAGAACTATTGGTTACGCGTCCGGGGTTACGAGCAGTGCCAGGAGCAGAATCTCTACCAAGGCGCGGTGCTCAGCTATCGGGGTGCCGCACGCAGCGAGTTGCCTCTAGGAAGCATTCTGGAAAGGAGGCAGGGTAGAGAGCTTGACGAGCCTCCCACGTACATCAATGATTTTCGATTCAAATTATCCATCAATGATTCCATCACTTTGCTGCGTCAGGCGAACCAGACCAAGGAGACAGATGTAGGCACTGTATCCCTGCGCTCCGTGGAGCCCGTCCCCTGGCCAAGATACACCAAATTCTTAACGCACTACTCCAGTCTAAGCATGCGACAGGCATCAAATGGCGAACAGCTCTTCCAAATCGATGAGATTAGCTACAATCCCCCAGGAATTTCCCTGCTGCAGGGACGTCATCTGTATCAGGACGATGGCTACTTCTGCAATCGCAGCTCGCTGGCCAGCCAGGGACGCAACTGTGCCCGAGAACTGTGCGAGTGTGTGCACGTTATACGACTGCCCGCCTATCGACCCATTGAAATGGTCGTGGCCAGTTACACGGATGCCACACATCCCATTCACCTGCACGGGCTCACCTTCCGCTTGGTCGGCCAGGGCGTGCTGGGTAATCTTAACGATTTGAGAAATGTAAGTTAGCCAGACCAATCCAAAGCAAGCTTAACTCCTTTTGCTTCAGATACGCCAATTGGATCGCCAAGGACGCTTGTCGCGCCTGCCCGACGACTATGCTGCCGTGGCTAAGGACACTGTCCAGGTACCCGGACTGGGCTACGTCATTTTGCGCTTCATCTCGGACAATCCAGGCTTCTGGAGTTACCACTGTCACATCGAATCCCATGCGGTCCAGGGCATGACGGCTGTGCTCAAGATCGGCGAGAACTATCAAATTAAAAGTATTCCAGCTCGAGTGCGCTGTTGAAGCGGACATACAGCAGAAGTGCGGAAATGAAAAAATTATAGCACTACTCTCACAAGACATATTTTCAAAATGTGCGTTTTCAAATTTTTAATTTTAAGAAACTCATATACCTTTTAAAATGTGGAAAATGCTCTTAAAAAAGTGAGAAGCAAAAAACCATAATTTTATTTATCGTTTTCAACTTATTTAAATTTAATTAAAAATATAATTACAAAATTAAATATTATGAAAAAGAAAGAAAATTAACGACAAAATAATACCGCCATTTTTCAAATGTACTGTAATAATTATTTAATTTATCAATTAAGTACATTAGAATTAAACAAACGATTTCTATAAAGTATGTAAGTGGCGCTATTATTTTTTTTTCCTTTCAAGTTTTTTTACCATACCCTTCAAACGAAAAAAAAATAGATTTCCAGGAGCAGTACTAACTTTAATTTATAAGGGGAATACATAACCATAAATATAAAAGTCAAAATTTAAAATCAAAGCAAATATTTCAACGAAAAAACTTATGAAATAATAAATTGCATAATTCAAGAATATAATATATACATGTTCATGTATACATGCTTAGTGCTATGACCTTATCATATACTTTTTAATTGTTTTGAACTATACCGAAATTATGATCACATGCAAAACTGAATCTATCAAACCACTGTTGTATATAATTGGGACTCGTGGCTTATCGGCAGATTAGGTTTAAGTTAAGCTATATTTAAAAGACGTTTTGTTCTTGTTTCGAAATGGTTAGAAGTCTTAACGTTTTTTTGGCATTCGTATGTCTTTGGATTGGCATTCAAGGCGCCTCTATTGGTACATACCCAAGTGTATTTGAAGACTGTGATTTTTATCAGCAATTCAATGATCCGGAGGGTCGTTTGAAGCTGAACCCAAGGCTTAAAACAGTAAGCAGGATTGAATAAATCGAAATCCATATATGTATATAATAAATATGTGTACCTAGGATGATCGCATTAGGGAACATGAATATCCGGCAGACTTTTTTTAATTGGACTTTTTCGCATTCCATATTCACATATGCTGCAGAATCAGATGGAGAATCGCCCCATAGTACTTATACAGCGTACTTATACAGCCTATTTGGTAGCTCCGACAATTGGATATCCATGGGCCCTGACAATGCCCTGGCTTTTCAACTAGCTGATGAGGGCTATGCTGTGTGGCTGGGCAATGCTCGCGGTAATACCTATTCCAGGAATCACACGACCAGGTCCACGGAACATCCCTATTTCTGGCGCTTCAGCTGGCACGAAATTGGCTACTTTGATATACCGGCTATGATTGATTATGCGTTGAAAACCAACGAACAGGGGCACAAGTCCATTCACTATATAGGTCACTCCCAGGGCACAACAGTATTCTATACGCTCATGTCCACACGACCTGAGTACAATGACAAGATCAGGACCGCGCAAATGCTGGCTCCAGTGGCGTTCATGAACAACATGGTTAATCCATTAGTTCGAGCGCTGGGACCATATCTGGGGTATCAAAATACCTATTCGCTATTATTTGAGTCACAGGAATTTCTACCATATAATGACTTCGTGCTGGCCTTAGCCTACAACGCGTGTGGGCAGGATTCAAGATTTTCCAGCTACTGCAGCATTTTGTATGACAGCAGCCCCGATGGACGCTCTAACACGGTTAGTCGCTTTTAAGTGATAAAGTATGTGTTGAACTTTTACTAAATATTATATGTATGTCTCCATGGAGTGCTCTTGTGATTAATATTGCAACAGGTCCCGCCGGCGTTTCGACCAGCCAATTTTTACATTATATACAGGAACAACAGTCTGGACACTTTCGTTATTATGACTATGGCAAAAAGAAAAATATGAAAGTATACGATTTGAAAATACCGCCAGACTACCCAACGAACTTGATAACCAGCAAAACTCATTTGTGGTACGGGGATAACGATATTATGGCCGCAGTGGTAGATGTCTTGAGATTATCTGATACCCTACCCAATATGGAATTGCATCATATGGAAGATCCTGAGTGGAATCATGGTGATTTTGTAACCAACTGGGAGGTGCGGAAGTATATTAATGATCCAATAATTAACCTTATCAAAGAAATGGATGCCCAAAACTAAATGGCAATGTTTGGAATGTTAATATAACTTAAATAAAAAATGCCAAATCTTTTATAATTCCGTCTTGATAAAAAAAAAAAACAAAATTTCGTGTTTTTAAACCAAAAAACCAAAAATTAAGCTGATAGCTATTTTCATTTATTACTTCATAGACTTTTTGTTGCGAGGGGGAAAAATGTATAAATATAAATTTAATTTGTTTACTATTCATTCAATACGAGTGGGGTTAGCGATAAGACAACGATCGTAAATCTGATAAGTATATGACGTAAATTATTATGAATATTCATTAGAAATAACAAACAGAAATAAAATTGAGTGCTAAATGTGTTTATAAATGATGACTTGACATACAGTATAATATTTTAAATATACATATAGTATATTCAGGGCAATTTCAAGTAAAGTCGAAATTCAAGTTGAAATTATAAAATACATTTTAAAGTATTTTAAATGTAAAAAATGTTAGAAATCGCAACATAAAACCGTTTTGTAATTAACTTTTACCATTCTACAATTGTATTAGAATTTTCAATTGTATCGATAAAACCAAAGTGAGATTTTGTCCTTGTTTTAAGTGCTTACTAGAGTAGTACAGAGAGATACAGAGGGAGAGAGAGAGAGAGAGAGATAGAAAATGTAGTTGGGCATTGAAATCTTGACGCGTATGCTCAGTGGGAGAGCAGAAACAAAATGTGTTTTACTTATTTTCTTGCTGGTAAATCGTTTGAGTAATGACTTTTATATGGGATAAACTATTCTTTGACAAAAATCTTAAATAACACCCGCAGTGGTTTCAAATTGAACAACACTTTTTCACATTTTACAGCACTACTAACCAATACCAATACCAATAAAGATACGCAACATGCGTTTACACATACATATACATCATGCACATGGCAGAGAAGTCAATGGTATATTTGCAGAAACCACAACGAGGCGTTATTTATCACGTCCCATCTTATTGTAGTGAAATTATCATCTTATCTTGTAGTCACAACTGAGAGGTTTGTTTTCATAGATTAAAAATATACAACGGGTAATTTTACTACCGCATATTGTCGCACATAAAAATATAAAATGATAAATAAATAAAAATGTGCACCCATTTTTTTATAATATGTTGAGTGTAATTAAAACTGATTTGAATGCCGGTTGTCTTCTCATCAAATCGAACAAAAACTTGTTGAAGATTAATTGATTTAGATCACGTGGTGGCCATTGCATACTGTAATGTTCGTATACAGGTATGGCTGGAATAGCAGATACGAGCAACGTGACTTTAAATGCGTTACAAACTTAAAAAAAAATTCTGACCCTCTCTGGCCTTGTTCTTGAATATGTAGATATGTATGTGAACACGTGTACAAGTCCAAATTTATTTCACAATAAACTGTTTAGAATATGAAAGCACAACATCACTGATAATGAGCTGGTTTCAGTGCCTGCTTTGACCCCTGACAATCTGCCAGATGGTGTGAGCCAGACAACTCACTAAACGATTCTTTACAGGCACACTGCAAATTTGCTCAATCAGTCTTAAATAATCGACGAACATGTCCGCGAGTAAAACCTACGTGCGTCCGGCCGATTTTGTAGATCCCGGAAAGCCCTCGAAGTGCACATGGCATCTGGGTACCAAGGAGCAGACGCCGCACACGCAACGTGGCATTGCGCACCGCCAAAAGATTACTCCAGACATCCTGTCAGTGATTGGATGCACTCCCCTGGTCAGGCTGAATTCCATACCAGCCAAGGAGGGCATTCAATGTGAGATGTGTGAGTATGCCACAATATTCTGATTATTCAGATTGTTCACATTAATTAATTGACTTGTTTATCACTACACTTTCACTATCATTCTTTTTATGAACTGATACGAAATAATAAAATATTCCTGTTGACTAGATGCCAAGTGCGAGTTCTTGAATCCGGGCGGTTCAGTGAAGGATCGGATTGGCTATCGCATGGTTCAGGATGCGGAGGAGAAAGGTCTGCTGAAGCCAGGATTTACCATCATAGAGCCGACGTCTGGCAACACAGGCATTGGCCTGGCAATGGCCTGCGCGGTTAAGGGCTACAAATGCATCATTGTAATGCCCGAAAAGATGTCCAATGAGAAGGTGTATGCGCTGCGTGCGTTGGGTGCCAAAATAATTCGTACGCCCACAGAGGCTGCCTACGATTCGCCGGAGGGTCTCATCTATGTGGCCCAGCAGCTGCAGCGCGAGACGCCCAATTCGATTGTGCTGGATCAGTATCGGAATGCAGGCAATCCGTTGGCGCACTATGACGGCACCGCCGCGGAGATACTCTGGCAACTGGATAATAAGGTGGACATGATTGTGGCCACAGCCGGTACAGCCGGCACTATTAGCGGTCTTGGGCGCAAAATCAAGGAGCAGGCTCCGAATTGCCGTATTGTCGGCGTTGATCCATATGGGTCGGTGTTGGCCCGCCCCGCCGAGCTGAACAAGTCTGATGTAAAGTTCTATGAGGTGGAAGGCATTGGCTATGATTTTCCACCCACTGTCTTTGATGGCAATGTGATCGATGTGTGGTCGAAGATCTACGATATCGACTGCTTTCCCATGAGTCGTCGCCTCAATGCCGAGGAGGGCCTGCTCTGCGGCGGCTCCAGCGGTGGCGCCATGTACGTAGCTCTGCAGCAAGCACGCAGCCTGAAGCCCGGCCAGCGTTGTGTGGTTATCTTGCCCGACGGCATTCGTAACTATATGACCAAGTTCGTGTCCGACAATTGGATGGAGGCGCGCGAATTCAAGCAGCCGGTGAATGAGCATGGTCACTGGTGGTGGAATGTGCCCATATCGCATCTAAAGCTGCCAGCTCCAGTCGCCCTGCTCAAGTCCGACGCAAGTTTTGCCGATGCCATTGCCTTGATGAAGCAGCACCATGTGGAACAGCTGGCCATGATCGATCAGAATGATGGGTATGTTAGCTACTGTCTGTCAGCTTTTGTTTTATTTCTAATTGCTTACTCATTTTGCAGCAGTGTACTGGGCGTTGTCACCCAGGAAACGCTCATGAGCCAAATTGTCAGTATGAATTGCAAGCTAAATGTCCCCGTGGTCAAAGCCGTCAACAAACGAGCCATTCGTCTGCCGGAGAATGAGAAACTTGGCAAGCTGGCACGCATTTTGGAGATTGATCCTAGTGTGCTAATTGTGAAAAAGAGCAGCGAAGCCAAGGACACGATCTTGGCACTGGCCACCAAACTGGATGTCACCTCATTTATAGCATCTGGCGATGGCGCCAAGCAAAACGGTAGTGGAAGCGGCGATTATTAGAGGCTATCATTAAAATCGTCTCTCTTAATTTTGCGTGACTGAATATTCTTAAAGCGTAACAACAGCGTGCATTTCTGATTTTATATTTTTGCTACTAAATTATGAGATATACTCAATTTTTACAAACATATGTGTTTTTATATACACTGGCACGAAATGAAATCGATAAAAACACACACACATATATATATATATATATATATATATATATGCAATATCCCCCACTATTTTAAAGTTAGTCATAAAATTTGGTTGGATTGCCGGTGATAGTCTTTATGATCACCTACGCCGGTCAAAGGCACATAGATAACAATTTTTATATTATACATCTGATCCTCAAAATCATGGAAGCTACTCACCAAATTTTAAATTGTACATCTGATGCTCAAAATCATGGAAATCACAAAATTTTAAAGGTAAATTGGCAGCAACACTCTTCAAAAAGCTGATAGAGACCACGCCCATTCCTAAATGTCAGTATATACTGATAAGTGTTACACCGACAGAATTATTTTCCGACGCTTTCAATATTTCGAATTGACAAAGTAAAACAGAATAATAGGTAATATGAAAGATAGATTTCATTAAAATAAAACAAGAAAGACAAAATTATAATATTCTCTCCAAGGTATACAAATATTTAAAGACTTAAAGTTTGATAAAACGCATTGTTCAGAGAATCTCAAATGATAACTTTTTAAAACATATCACGGCTCCAACTAATCACCCTTTTTCGTTCCTTTAACATGATCTTCGACCCTTTTGTGGGACTTGGTCGTTAAGTGTTGCAGATAATGTTTCTGTAGCTTGAAACTCTGCTGGCAAACGTCACAGCTACGAAATATATTAGATTAGAGAAATGTTAAAAAAATGTAGAAGCTTTAATTGTTGAAATTACCTAAAATCACGGCTCATTGTGTGAATCATTTGATGGGCTCTGCAGTCGCCTTTCGTCACAAAAGTTTTATCACAATATTCGCATTGGAATGGACGCAGATTACCAGCCATGTGTATTCTGTGATTCAAATTGTTGTTATATTGGTATGTTTTGAAGTCAATATGAACTTTAGTTGCTCTCACCTCTCGTGCGTACTGCGATTGCTGCAGTGGCGAAATGTTTTGCCACAAGCATAACGACACGGATACGGACGCACATTGTCGTGAGTGCGCCTATGATGATTCAGTTCGCCACTTGTACAAAAGGCTGCGCTGCATAGTTTGCACTTATGGGGTCGAGTGCCAGTGTGGCGTACAATGTGATTGCGTAGATTAAATCCAGTGGTGAAATTTTTTCCACATATGTGGCAAATATGCTCGTCCGCCAGCCCATGAATTCGTCTCTTATGCTTCTTGAGAAAGTGCCTGCTGTGGAAGTTCTGCCCACACTCCTCGCAGCTGTGTCCAAAATGTACTCCGATGCTCTTTAGGTGGTCAACGAGTGGAGCAGAATATTTAAAATCATGTCCGCAATGCTTGCACACAAATCTGAAATGATTTATATTATTTCCATGCATTTTTATACATGTTGAAAATGCACCTAGTTTGGAGCTGCACGTCATGCACCTGATGCATGTGCATCTTCAGTTGATCTTGATTGGTAAATGTCAATCCACACTGATGACACTGGTATTTCTGATTTCTCGGCTCCCTTTTATACTTTTTCCTGATTAGTGCTGATGGTGTTGCCGTTGGTAGCGGCTGTATTTCCACCTTTTCTTCGTAATAGTTCTCATTATCTGAATTGACAAAGTCTTCCAGTTGTTCATCTTCCATGTCTAAGTCTGTACTGCGAATGATGTGCTGTGTAGGTGACTCTGGATATGTTAGTATTTCTTGTTCCGCCTCCTCCTTGAACTGTACTTGGAGGAGGAGTTGTGATTGTGCCTCAATGCAAACTCTGCGAAACTCTACTGCAATTTCTAGATTTTGCAGGCATTGTTGGCAAATAAAGTCCGAAAGGTCTTCTTCTCGATTTAGCTGAATACGAAAGGTAAATATTTATTATTAATTATTGTTAAAAAAACGCATCTCTGTATAGTCGAACTTACAACCAGTTCTGTCACCATTTTAACTTGCAGCAGAATATCATTTTCTGAATTAAATAAATTCTGTGCTGTGGTAGATTCAATCGGCTGCGCGCATGTTCTGCAAACGTCATCTTTCATTATGTTCTTTGGTTTCTTCCCCTAAATAAAATAGATATTTAAATACACGCCAAATTCTGGATTTAAGTGCAAAGCTTACATATGCGACTTTTAGTTTAAAAATACTGACATCGTCTTCGACTTCATCGTCAATGGTGTCATTGGCATCTACATCGTCATTGACAATGCCATTATTCTCGTCATATGCGCCTTCCAAGTATTCTGTATCGGTATATTCCGTATCATCTTCCAATGGCGAGTTGGGAGCAGGAGTTTCGTCGAAACTTTCAAAATCCGAGCTAAAAATTTTTCGATAATATTGATTTCAGTTCAAATCTGACAATTATTTGGTTACCTTTTTTTCTTTGACAATTCCTGTAAGAATGCCATATCATCGGCGAACTCCCATTTAATGTGTGGAGTTTCTAGGGGATCGGCTTCAGCCTCAATATCGTCACCATCCATCTTGGAACGGCTGTGCGCCGTCTTGCAATGGTAACGATAACACTGCCGCAATGAACGCCAACCAACCTTGCATTCGTGCGCTTTTTAAATACAACAAATTATTAGTTACAACTATATGCAATAAAGTATCATCATTTATAACTTACGATCTCTGCCCATCTCAGCACCCACGGACATCCAAGCCGCCTTCAAGCTTGTAAGATCATTGTGCTCTTTATCCGTCACGTCCCAGAGTAGACGCCGAAACCTAACTGCAGCAATCAGCTGTGACTTATCCTCCTTTTTAAATCGCAGAATCTTTCTACGATACATAATGCGGCTTGAGAAACTGATGAAAATGTGTTTGCCGGAAAACGACACTTCTTCCTTAAAAACAACTGAAAAAACCTAAATTCTTAATATTTTACATATGTCGTAAGATTAAAAATTAATTCCAATCCATAATTTGTCGTATTATTTTATTTATTAAGAACAGCGTACACACCTCAAGTGTAAAGTGACTGAACAAAGTTACCATTCACACAAATTACATCAGCTGTTTATTGTCTGACACTCACACAGAAGCAACTGTACCATACCAATTTTGAATGACATTATTTTAAAAAACTAAAAAACCATTAAGTATTGATAATTTTACTCTTGTGCAGTTTGGTCCGTTGATGCAGCGATAAATGGGAGGATCGCTGAAACCATTGGTCGCATGGTTCACAACTGCAATATATAATTTATATTTATATATTAATAAGATCTAACTATTATGGATTTCTTACTGATATTTCCGATTATTAATATGAACACGTTCGTGCATTCTTCGAACAGAGGTGGAGGTAAATGTTTTCTCGCAGTATTGGCAGGCAAAGGGACGTTCATTTGTATGGGTTCTATAATAATTTAAGAAAATATATATTTAACTCGCATGTGGCTTGATTTAACCAACCTTTCGTGAACTGCCTTACTGCTGGTGCCACGAAATGATTTGTCACAGAAGCGACAAGAATATGGTCTGGCTTTGGAGTGCAAGATCTTGTGACGGATCATTTCGTTATGTGTGTAATATCGCCGCTTACAAATATCACACTCAAATTCCTTTTTCCCCGTATGGCGTAACATATGCAGTTTTAAATATGTTGAGCATTTAAACTCTCCGCCACATTGTTCGCAAATCCATGTGTTTGGTTTCTTGGAGCTGCTTCTTCTATTTATTCTATTTGCTTTGGCGCTGGACTTGGATGGTTCCGGGCATTGGATTTCAACTGCTTCGCAATTGGATTTCGAGTTTGCTTGTTGAAGTTCAACACAGTCCGTATTATTTACATTTTCGATGTCTTCACACAAGTTGTGCTCATCCTTAAGATTTTTTATCGCCCGTCTTTTGGCCTCCAATAGCTTTTTGTGAGTGTCGAGGCAACTAACACGAAATTCAACAACCTCTTCCAACAAGGATTTGCATTTATTGCATATATATTCTGGCAAGCTCCTGTCGCTCTCCATCTATAATTATTTACTTTACAATATACTTATACCAAATATGCATATTAAAGAAAACTTGCCCACATGTCGGTGATATCCTCAATTAAAGATACTAGTGGGTAGTTGAGTTCCTCAAAAAGCTTTGCTCTTGCGATCTTTTCATTTATTGTTATTCCACAGGTGCGGCAAAGACCGCGCCAGTCTTCCATTTTGGGTTTAATTAAATCTAAAATCTGCGCTTTAAAAATGTGATTAATGTTTGTGGTTTTTGGGCGAATGGCAAACGTAAATGCCGGAGCAACAGTTGACACTGTTATTTCAATGTGGTCATTTTTTGTGCATTTTGGATGAATATGTGTGTACACACTGATGTTATTTTATTTGTGCATTTCGTAAACAAAAATAAATGTTTATAAAATAATAATGTCGGTACACTGTAGAACTTGTGGAGAACCTATTTACAATCTCAACCCCAGAAATCTCTTCAGTCATGAGAACAAAGATATTCGCAAAAACATCGAAGCAATTACAGGAATAAAAGTAAGTAATTTAAGAGTCCGTTGGACTCTTAAAATATATTAAAAGATATTTTATGTTTATAAATTTTATACATCTTCAGTTATCTTATCACTCGCATCTACCGAGCCATGTGTGTTCCTGTTGTTATTTGGACTTGAACCATTCTATGGCATTTCGGCAACGCTGTGTGGTGACACACAAGCATTTCATGAGCTTAAAACAATCAGATTTCGCTGAAAACAACTTAATTTCCAAACAATCTCTGCTGGCCATTGATCCATTGTTTGATTATGATCTTAGTACTGAAGAAGATGCGATCATTGAATCCAAGTACACGACTGACTACCCCCCAACTACCAATGTATCAATGTCCCATAAGAAACTTGTCCAAAATACCCAAAGCCATCTTTCGCCTCGAGTACGTATTATGCGTTGTCGTCATCCAAGTGAAGCTCTCGAAAAACCAATTCGTCCGACAACAAATCCTGCGGCACCTTCAATCATTTCAAGGTCGACAAGAAAAGTAATTAGAAAGTTGCCTGATGAAATGCGAAATGTCAAGAAAAATAAGCCGCGTATTGCGCCACTGGAGAAGAAATTCGTTTGCGACCAATGTGGCTGGTCTTTCCGTGATCTGAGCAATATGAAGGATCATGCAGTGCGCCATTCGGGCGTCAAAAACTTTGAATGTGAAGAATGTGGCTGTAAATTCTTCACGCGACCCCTGCTCATGCTCCACGTGCGTGTCCACCACAAAGGCGAGAAGCCCTTCGTATGCAAATATTGCGGAATGGCCTTTCGTAACAGTCCCAGTCGGTGCCGGCACGAACGGTAAGTGAACCTAATTCTCCCCTCTTCTAAATGACCTGCTCTTAATTTCAATTTAAAGGAAATACCATGCAAAGGAATTACCCTTCGTGTGCAATCTTTGTAGCAGGACGTTTATTAGTAAAATTAGCTTGGAAAAGCACAGAGAGGCTCATGATTTGGGAGAGAAAATCTATCGGTATGCATTTTGACACTCCACGGCTATTATTGACCTATTATTATTCTTATTTTAGCTGCGAAACGTGCAAGAAGACTTTTAAGGGAGCCATATTTTTAAAAAATCATTACACTACAAAGTTTCATCAGAGGAGAGTTAATGAAATGATTAAATATGACTTGGAGACAGCTGATATAACAACGGTCACCGATGGCGATGTTAATTTTGATTTTTCAGATTCTATTATTGAAGAGATTGAAAATTAAACAGGTGACCTTATTTTAAAACCAAAGGCGATTAATTTCCAGAAAATATGATTTATTGAGTATCTCGTTAAGCCAATATTTCCGTATTTAAACAAATGGGCCATTGAAAATTATAGAATTACTTAAGCAAAAATTCACAACTCCCTTACACTTAAATATAGTTTTGCCATCCCCAACAATTTTGCAGATAAGCAATTTCCAAAAAAAGCCACAAATTTGTTTAAATTGTGAACAATTTCAGGCTTAAACTTTTTTCACGATATGTTATCGATATCTCTTAGATAAGCCAGTCACATGTTAACTTAGAAAATACTCAAATAACAGCCCTGCTCCACTCTAGGGTGGTGATCTGAATTTACACAAAAATATTAATGCAATTAGAGGACGCTCGCAAAAATGTCGATTCAGTGCAGGACGTGTGCGGACAACATTTTCAATCCAAATGCCAAAAATATCTTCGAGCAAGATGACAACGAGATATTACTTAACATCGAGACGCTAACTGGAATCCGGGTAAAAATTTATCTCAGTAAAATATGTATGCAAATCTTTGAAGTGAAACATGAACAATGTGTTTTTCTATAGTTATATGAAGAAAGAAATATGCCCACACACATTTGCACCTGTTGCCATTTGGAGCTCTACCATTCGATGGTATTTCGTGAGCGCTGCATTAGAACGCAACAATTCCTGAAGAACGGGAAGCCCAAGGCTAAGTTTGATCCACTTAAAGCGGCGCACAAAGATATCCTTGTCGCAAATGCTAGTGCAAACAGGCCGTTGTGCGTCAAAATAAAGGACGAGCACATATCGAGTACATCCGATCCAACGGTCTCCAATCAGCAATATTCTTCGCAATGCCGCCTTTTACGTGGTCGCAAGCAGACACCGGAGAATTGTAAAGATTCCTATGATTCGAGTCCTGCTCAAGCGGCTTCAGTCGAAATGACTCAGCAAATTCCAGAGGATATGGTGAACCTCGAAGCGGCGGATAGATTTAATGACTCGCCTACCAGTAGTTTACACAATAGCACATCAATGGATGAGTTGCATAACGCCTTCGGCGAGATTTCTGATTTCCAAGAAGAAATATCCCCTGCTTCCAGTCCAATGGAAGGATCTTCCATTGCCCCCCTCTCCTCAGCCCTGAATGATAGCGTTACGACCAATACGATATCCAGCAGCAAGAAGGGCAAGAAAATCAATGCGAAACCTACGGCGGATCCAAAGGTTTTCATCTGTGACCTTTGCGGTCATCAATCTTCAAATCAGAAGAACTTGCAGATTCATATACTGCGCCACAAGGGCGAAAAGAACTTCGAATGTGAAGAATGTGGCCTGAAGCACTACTCCAAATACTTATTACAGCTGCATATTCGGGTTAAGCATCGAGGAGAGATGCCATTTTCATGTAGATATTGTGAGCAGCGCTTCTTTTCCGGCAGCACACGCCAACGCCACGAACAGTGAGGATGCAAAACAAGAGCACAAATATAATTCTGAAATTCCACTTAATTTTCTTTTTTCTTTAACAGAGTTCGACACATTAGAAGTTTTTCATTTGAATGCAAGGTTTGCGGCAAAAAGTATCTAACTAAATCATGTTTGAATAAACACGAATTTCTGCACACAGGTTTTCGACCACATCGGTATGTTACACTATTTATAGTATATATTATATCATATAAAACCAAATTTAATTTATCAGTTGCGATTTGTGCAATGTGGCATTTCCTCGGAAACCGGGCTTAAGGATCCATTGCCGCACAAAGCAGCATCAGAAGAGGGCTAGCGAAGCCTTAAATAATCAACTTGATGTCATTAAACAGATAACAGTTGCGGACGATATTCTAGTGTTTCCCGACTCGATCATAGAAGAACTCGATGTGCAAACGGCGATGGATGAAGTTATTTAGAGCCCACAATTAAAAAGATGTGCCCACATTGACAGTCACACGTCGTTGTAGTGCATCAGCTGTTATGTTGCCATTCACACTTTGATTTCGATAATAGAATCATATTAAAAAACCACCGCTGCCTAACTATAATAATTTAAATTGTATTTTATTAAAATATGTCGGCTGTGCATTTATGTAGAACGTGTGGTGAAAAGATTTACCATCTCAATGCCACGAATCTCTTTGAGAAGGAAAGTCGCGAGATTGTTGAAAATATCGCCACTTTGACGGGAATCAGAGTAAGACTTTGTTTACAATATGTACACCTACATGTACCTACCTGTATGTGTATTCAGACGTTTTAACAAGCTGTATGTTTGCTTAAAGTTTGATGAAGGTGAAGACATGCCTAAACACATTTGCCCGTGCTGCCTTTTGGACTTAAACTATTCAATTGCCTTCCGAGAGCGTTGTATAAACGTACAACGACTTCTGCGTGATGGCCAGCACGAGGAAGCGACTACGCTGGATCCACTGAACTGTAGTCCACAACGAAAGGTGACTACTTTGAAGATTAAGAGTAGCAAGCAACCGCAATCTAAGATTGTGCGGACTCATATGGAACCGTATCATATATCAAGTAGCCACACTTCACGACGGTTGACAGTTGCTCAAAGCACAGTTCAGCATGTCAGATGCAGTTTCAAAGGGGTTACAGCTCCTGGTGCGACCTACGAAGCATCCATAGCTTACCCAGAGGCAGACCGTCATGCGAAGGCAACTAGTCCTAGTCCAACGAAAGCGACTTCTCTGACATGGAGCAACGAAACAAAGAAGGCTATGCATTCAGTATCAGTGAATGCTCCAAGCGCAGCACATCATACCAGAAGCAGCGCCAAAACGATTATAAATCCTGCTCCTTCGACATTCGAACCACACAAATCTTATACAGAGGCAAAATGCTGTGGTAGCGCTAATAATTCTAGTTCAGCGAAGTCAAGAAGCAAAGGATCAGGCTTGGAGTTTACGCAGTCATCAACAGTGGATTACGAAAGCGAATTTCTTAGAACACAGTCGGCTGTTATTAAGAAATTCGTCTGTGACCAGTGCGGCAAATGTTTTGCAGATCACAGCAACTTGAAAGTCCATATATTGCGACACGGTATCAAGAATTTCGAATGTCCGGATTGTGATGCAAAGTATTATACAAATCATCTTCTGAATTTGCATATACGCGTCAGGCACAAGGGAGAAAAGCCATATGCCTGCAAATATTGTGGCCAGCGCTTTTTCACGAGCACCGCCCGCTGTCGGCATGAACGGTGGGTAATGGCCATGACTCGGTTTTACATTACTGTAATTTTTATTATTCAACAGGGTAAAACACACGAAGAAATATTCATTTGTGTGCAAATATTGCGGAAAAACATACCTTACAAAATCGTGCTTAAACAAACATGAGTTCCTTCACACGGGTCAACGACCATTTCTGTATGATTAATTACGTCTTTAACTATTATGTCATTTACAACTTGCAATTATTATAATTATTGTAATTTTATTTCAGATGCGAAATATGCAATGTGGCGTTTCCCAGAAAAACGAATTTAAAATTACACTATCGTTCAAAGCAACATCAAAGAAGAGCTGCCGATATGTTGGGCACCAAATGTGATATAATTGAAGAAATCCCGGATGAGGCAACCGAAATGGATATCGCAGATTTAATTGTCGAAGAATTTGATGAATAAATAAGCAGTACTGTAATTAAATACATTTAATACATTTGTGGATAAGTTGTCTAAGAGACGGGACAGCAAATACAATTTGTTTTCTCTTCCATAGAATACCATAGAAGCCAATGCTGTTTATTATTTTGGTTCATATTTTGTTACTATGTAAAACCTACACGTAAAATGACCAATAATAAGACATTTGAAATTTTGCGTATGTAAAAGTGACATTGCATTTGATTTTGCTGTTCACATTATAATTGATACGAATGAAGTTGTTAGCTCGTGAAGAATAATGTGTTTATTAATATAAAAATAAACTTTCAAATGTCAAAATTGTTATATTTATTGCCTAAATATTCGGATAACACGCATAGCAGTGGAGTTTGGTTAGGATAACTTGTTAAAAGCTTTCATCTTTCTACCGATCGTTCATATGGTAGTTACCCGAATCCTGATTCGAATCGTCAGACTCAGACATATGTAGTGCCTGCAGTAAAACGAAAGTTGTGAATTTGCTAAGATTGCTTCATTATTAACTAGTTTGCATAGACGGGTCGGAGAAGTCTCCTTCAAAGCGTTACACACCTCATTACAAAAAGTTAATAACTTCTGCAATATGTACACTTTCATGTAGTAATAATAAGTTTAAAAAAAAATCGACCAAACTATATTAACTTGTAGTGCGTAGTGTATTTGATCTGGATTTGTGGTAAATGATTTAAATTCCTTCCAAAATTAGTATAAACAAATTTTTAAAATATAATATGCCAGATGTAACATTTTTCTTATATGGAGATTTTAATCCTGGCACATACGGATCCTGACGCTTGATTTAGAATGGAATGGAATGGTGAATGCAGTTGAGAGCACCGGCAACTTATTAAAACATAAATGAAAATGTTGCGCCTGATAGATATGGCAACTGCATGTACATACATATGTATGTATACATATACTTTATTTATTAAATATCATATATTTGTAGGAAGCTTCCTAAAAGCACACTTTTATGTTTTTTGAGAACGCTTATCTAACTATTTGGTCTGTCCAAATCAGAAACCCCATTTCACAAATTGAGCAATGGGTGAGATATATATTAAGATCTCTTTTTTAAACATTTTTATTATTATTTATTATTATTTAAAACTATTTTAATTATAGATACAGATTAATGTATTCATGCCTCTGTCAGCTGCCTTGAACGAAGATACAACTTTCATAAATATTTGGAAAGAAAATGAAGACCGTTACTCAGTGCAAATTACAAAATATTTGTGTCACCGAGGTTCCAGTTGTTAAATTGGGAAAAATGCGGTTTTTAGATTTCTCAGAAAACTTTGGAAAAAAAAAACAAGTAAGAATGCGATCTACATTGGTGTTAAATTTATTGTAGTCATATTTTCAAATATCGCATTAAGTTTTATATACTCAAATGAGTCCATTATTAATGGGATCGGGGTATGAAATAATAAATAGTTTCCCAAAAAACGATGATAAATTGTGGGCATAGGCATAAAAACAAAACAAGTAAGAATGCTTTACTCGAGTGACTTCGACTAAAGCCAGTTAAATTTTTATTTTTATGGCCAAATTTCCCTTTGAAAGTTTTGCAGCCTTTTTCAGAAAAGTAAACAAAAGTATTGCAGAGTATTATTTTATTCACAAGTCCGAACTGAAATCGCCGCCTTGAGATACATATATTGTGATATGTATGTATGTACCCAATCGTAGATAGCGCTGCAATACATAAACAATCACACACCCAATAAGGCGCACGAATACCTCCACTGCGATTCATAGCTTGTCATATGAGGAGACTAATATGTCACGGGGATGATAGTATTCGGATAAGTACCTCTGGTAGGCAAAAAAGTTCTTGTTTGTCATTAAGATGGCATTGACCAAGTCGATTCTTGTCCTGAATAACTTCAGCAGTTTGCCAGGTATCCCCGGGTAAGCCCCTATAAATCCACTTACCGGCCAAGCAATACGAGAAGGTTAATACATTGAACCATCCCCTTCGAATTTGTTGAAATGGTATCCTTATTCTAGGAAATCAGTAAAAGTAGTGAATTATTGCCGAATGACGGTTAGGGCAATGCTTCTACCACCTCCGACCCATTAAGACTTGGCAAATCTCCAAGCACGTTTTTGTGGTACGTCGTTATTAAGTTGACAGTTCAGGATCAGACTTTACATTCCTGGCTAAAGCGAGTCCGGCTCTGAATTCACTTTAATTAGGCCGGGTGTCAAAATTTGCATGCAAAGATAACCATGGCATTATTACGTAACTGTACAACGACCAGAAATAACGACCTGGAATTGTGGCCCTACAAAATGGGAAATATTCAAACACAAACAAAGAAGAGCTAACTATTTAATTTACAACTCATGAGATACGTGCGACATCGGGATCCCTAACATTTTGTTGGCCAACACTGATTGGGTGAGATGAGGGCATAAGAAACAAACGAGAAAGGAATAATTGTGAAAGGGAATTTCTCCAGGAAATTTAGAGGAAGAATCACTAGGAAGGGAGGGACACGCAGACTGTACTAGATCCACACAGCCAACACAGCAGCGAGCGGACTGGTTTGATGGAAATATTTGTTTTTTTTTTATTTATAAAAGAATACAAATTTTTTGTTAACTTGCCGCCCAATATATAGCGGTCGAACTTCCCTGAGTCGATATCTAGCCGGCTGAGCGATATATTGGTGCATTCGACAGGCAAGGCATAACAAGTAGGTCACCACCACCGCTGGAGAAATCTGAGGAGTAAGATATAAGCCTGGCGAAGCAGCGTAGCACAGTGTTATGCGACCTTGATCAAAAGATTACGTAGCTGGTGGTGATGCTAGAGGATGGCAAACGGTGTTCCATCCATCAACCGATACGGGACTCAATCAGTAATTAGGATGCCATAGTTATTGCGCCAAAAGGTGGGGCCAGTTACTCGTAGGTATAATGCAAGATAAAAGCGGAAGATAAGATTAGCGAGCTTGGGGAGCTGGTTAATAGGATCAGGAGGACTCAAATGGGTGAGCTATTCCTGCAGCTGGATAAGCCATGTATGGGTACCTTGGCATTCAGGTGCCTTGCGTGAGCAAGCAGAGGTTCTGTTTTTTGCTCACCGCATGACCTTCGAATCCAGTGATCTGGATGAGGTCACGACAAATCATGATATCAACCTGCGTATGGCATATGGGCAGACCCAAATGGCTACGATTAGGCTTCCAGCAGATAGCGCAAGGAAAGCTTTGCGTGGCGTCTTGAAAGTGGGATGGGTCAGCTCAAGACTCCGGGAGCGCTTTATGTGTGAACCACACTAGCCAATCACCGGAAGTGGCGGGGTGGAAAGAAAGTGTGGCCAAGTGTGGTAAAGGACACTAGCACAGGCCACGAAGGGTTTGTCCGGGCAAAAATTATCGGAATATCTTTTTACAGTTGTTTCGCCCCACCGTGTTAGGAGCTGAGACGGTTCCAACAGATGCTGGAGGAAATTTCGGAAGATGCTCGCTGCTGTTATAGCCGGGCAGTAGAATGGGAAGCAAAGAGACGAATGCCAGTCTGTTGGAAGAGTCCGCAACGCCGTAAACTTGGCAAATTGTGGGAAGTAGCTTACTTGTCGCAATGCTTGCAGAGGGTCTATTATAGATATTACCCTACTAAGCAGTTCATTTTGCAGAATGGCAACGGTGGAAAGTCTGCGAAAATTTCACATTCAGCGATGACTAAACGATTCATTTTGTGAATGGAAGAACACAAAAACGGCCGCGACCCAAAACTAGTGGGCCCAAATGGAAAGAAAACTGCCGTCTTCTTACGCCACGCCGAGTCCACAGTGAGTGACGAGATAAACCAGCTAAGGAAAGCGTGCTTACTGGCGAGAAGGCGTTTCCAACGTGCCGGGGGCCGCCCAGACTTTGCCAGTATGCTGGAGGACCTCAGAAGACCCAAGATAGAACTGATACACAGCATTAAAAGGAGCAAAGATAGCTGCTTTCGGGCAATCTGCGATCTGCTGACTTGAACCCATGGGGCACCGCTTACCAGGTGGTCACAAAGAAAAGCCGAAGTCAGGAGACTGTAAAGGTGACTTGCCCTACGTCTTTAGCCGCCATTGTGGCGACGCGGGGAGATAAATATGCTCCGGGACCTGACGGTATCCCGAACAATGCCCTTAAAATTGCGGTGCGACTGATACCTGACGCTTTTGGCGAAGCATACTCCAGATGCCTATCGGACGGAGTATTTCCGACGCGACGGAAAAGGCAGCAGCTAATCCTCTTGCTAAAGGGGGATAAGCCAATTGAGGATCCCTCAAGATATAAGCCGATCTACCTTTTGGATACAGCGGGAAAGGTCCTGGTGAAGGTAATTCATAATAGACTACAATGGTTTCGTGTTGCTGCCAAAGCAATTGAGGGAACCAGTTGGATATGGGGCGAGGAGTATTGTGCTGTAATAACATTGATGCACACATATGCAACGCGTTCAACAAATGCATTAAGGTGCAAGTCAACAACGGCCTTGGCCAGAGTGGGATAAAGCCCACAACCAAGCAGCATCTATATTGTGCACATGCGCACAAATCGAACAATTTTGATGATCGTTCATCTCTCCTTGAAAGACCGTTGAGTCAGAGCCATTTAATTCGGCCTTTGCATTTTCAGTTAGCAATAAATGGTCGGAATCTTTAAGTATCCTCGCCTTTAGCCTTCAGCTTGGCCCATGTCAATGCAATCTTTAGCATTTATTTTGGAAAACTGAATTTTAACTATCTAGCCCTAGCTGGATGGCATGGAGCCAATATTAAATTTATGTTTTTTCATTCTCTCTGGCGTTTTCATATATTTTAATTTTCTTTGATTTCTTATTTTAATTTCAAGCTGTTGTCTGGATAAATAGAATTAAAGTTTAATAAATATATAATGTGATGTTAATAAGAAAATAAAGTTGGTAACATTAGTTATTAAGAAAAGTAAGATAGAAAAACGAAATTAAAAATACTGGACTGTAAACGTGCAT